AAGCTTCATGGCAATCGTACTATGCCACAAACCTTTGCTGGAGTATATTAAACAACTTCCCAAAGTTTCACGGCAATCGGATAAACGGTGTGATAATGCATGAAGGACAGACAGACACACACACATACACACACACATACATTCATTTTTATATATATAGATTAGCAGTTGTAGAAATAGATATTAGGACGAACCTCATCTGAAGCTAACAAAGGAATTGCATAGAGAGAAAATTTTATGCAATTACAAGTAACGTCACCTCAAGTTGATGGAAAGATTTTTGTGACTTGAAGCTTCTCAGAATTTTAAAAAAATTGAATGCAAAATATCCAAGAACACAGTTCACAGAATGTTATGTTCCAAATATTGTAAGNTAATGCATGAAGGACAGACAGACACACACACATACACACACACATACATTCATTTTTATATATATAGATTAGCAGTTGTAGAAATAGATATTAGGACGAACCTCATCTGAAGCTAACAAAGGAATTGCATAGAGAGAAAATTTTATGCAATTACAAGTAACGTCACCTCAAGTTGATGGAAAGATTTTTGTGACTTGAAGCTTCTCAGAATTTTAAAAAAATTGAATGCAAAATATCCAAGAACACAGTTCACAGAATGTTATGTTCCAAATATTGTAAGGTACTATCGTATTTTCGCATTCCGCATATAACCGGGAGAGACCAGCATGCCGGTTAAATTGCGACAGTTGACCCTGACTTTAAAAATAACACCCAAATTTATTGCCATGTGAGTATTTTTTTAAATGCACATAACTATAAATTTTACTGCAGATTTGGCCAATCTAGTGGCAAATCCACTAGAACTCTGGTTTAAAATGGATTGTACAAAGAAGCGCAAAAATATTTACCATAATGGCATTCTTTGCATTTTAGGAAAAACTTAGATAAAGCTATTTCATGTGATATTTTATATTTAAAACTATTTTTTCCAGAATGGCAAGTCATTTTATAACACTAAACCTTACGCAGGATGGTTGAATCGTTCTACGAACGGTTTCCTATCGAAATCTGTCACATACGCGATTAATTAATTATTAAATTTAACACAAGATGGCAGCATAGCAATCTAACTTTCACAGAACCTATAATGAGAGAGTGGCCATATAAGTAATGCTTTTTTATTGGCAGTTAGTAATCACGTGACTTTTAGTTGCCCTTATTCTTCCAAACAATTTATATTAAATATATAATTTACTAGCAACCCCTGTCGCGGCCTCGCCCGCTCTTATATACAGTGGAACCCCGGTTAACGAACGTCCTGGTTAACGACCAAATCGGTTAACGAACTTTTATTTTGCAAAAATTTTGTCTCGGGTAACGAACAAAATTCGGATAACGAACGTAACGGTATTTTGTGTCAAATTTTAGTTGGTGTTAGGTATGCGCGAGTTAAGCATTGCTTTTCCGAGTGTTTGTACTATACTTCTTTTTTCAGTTTTGTGATTTATATATTTCATCAATATGGCATCAAAGAAAGAAAAAAGTCATAGTGGCAATAGAAAACGACAATGCGCTATCGCATTTGAAAAAAATTTTGATTAAAAGAGTAAGACAATCAACTTTAGATCAATTGCTTGTTCCTCACGGAAAGTGTTCGTTTCTTTGTTAAGTTATGGCAACGCAACACTTGAGCGATCTGACTAGGGGGAATGCCATCTGGGAGGTGTTACAGACGTGGAGAAATCCTGGAAAACTCCATGTGGCCAGCCCGTCTGAGCGAGGTGCGAACCCACGAACGAAGGTCGTGTTCAAGGTACGAAGACCACTTAGCCACTGGTGGGTTTTTACCGAAAGAGACTTCGACACGAAGACTCTTCCGATGAAGTGCTACCCGTTATTTTTTTGGAGGGATTCCCGTTCTAAGCATTAATGTTCGTATATCTCCACTTTTCTGCCACCAACTACAACAAACGAAGGTATTATTAAACAAAGTTTACATGTTTGTTGCTGTAATGATAGATACTACGTTTTCCTACATTTTCATCAAAGAAAATTACTGTATATTTCAAATAAAATGACAAAAATTTCGGAGACTAGAACGGATTAATTGCATTTGCATTAATTTCTATGGGAAAAATTGCTTCGGTTCACGAACAATTCAGTTAACGAACGGAGTCGCGGAACGGATTAAGTTCGTTAACCGGGGTTCCACTGTACTTATAGAACTTCGAAAATTTGAACTAGTTGTTCATTAATTAATTTTGGATGATCAATGTGTAGTGTTGCAGTAGAGTATTGCAAAATACTGTATAAAAAAATAAAATCATAAAACTTCTGAATAAGTTATATTTTGAGTTTTGTCACTCATTGGTATCAAAATTATTTTATTGTTATGATTTTCAGTTCTGGAAAGTCCTACATACAATTGGCCATGGGAGAAACTTTCCATACGAAGACCCGAACGAATGCGTTGCTCTTCTCTTCCAGTCTTTGAGACCGCTCTGCTTTATTCTGCTCTGTTAGATTCAAGTTGTCTGCAATTATGAACAATAATAGAGAGGTTGCGACCGATGTTTTCAACGTGAAAATGTGTACGTCGGACGTTTAATACCGCCTTCCTGTAAGTCTAGAAGTTTGACAATGGCGTTTGGAACGTCGTGCATGATTCCACTGACGTTTCAAACGCGATTGGTTCAGTAGTTTTCACGATTAGTGGTCACAAACGAAAAATACGTTGTCTCCTTATATAGTAGTGTAGATATAGATACAGGTATATAATATATGATACCATCCATATCCCTCTATTTCTTAGTAATAACTTACAGTATATATATTACTAATATGAGACTTTTTACTTATAAGATAATTTTTACTTATATACGTTACTTATGTTATGGTTTATAATTGAATGTTAATTTAATAAGTTCCATGCAATTAAATAAGCAATAGCGTAAATTTTTTAAATCAAAATGTGCTGTCTTAATGATACATTTAGTCTGATTTTCAGGTATTTTTACTCAAATCTTTATTATTTATATTTCTACACAATAAAAATTACATATTTAAATGAAAACTGTAATCTCTTTAGTTCTTATATAATAATTTCTATAATTAGTTTACCTGGTGGAATGACGCCATACTTTTGTTTCTGTGACGTTTCGTATCATTTTGTCACGTTTATTTAATCTATTTTTAGAACATAACATAAAACAACTGTAATTTTTAACATTATATTCATTCAGGATATTAAAAATAAAACAATTGGCTCCTCACTCATTGCGTATGGTAAATGTTCTATTATAAACAAATTCAGAAATTAATAAATATTATATTAAATAAATAATAATAGTAATAGTAAATTCTAAAAATCGAAAACTATGTTTATTTTCTTCAGTCCGAATTTTTATTTAAATAAGTGCTAGATTATTTCCATTTTTTTAAACTAAGTACAGTATGTGACTACGATTAAGTGAGTAGTTTGGAAAAGACATGGCGGTAACTATTCGTTGTGGCTTCTGGTTTCCTGTTTGTACTGTATTTTTGCATATTAGTATTGGTAAAATTGCGTGAATAAACAGCTTGAAAATTAAAATCAATAATGGCATCAATGTTTAAAAGGTATTGATCGTGCTGTGTAGCTGTGTAATGCAGCCTAACACCTGGATAAAACATCAATTCGTTAATAGGGGATCAGAAAAGGGTAAAGCTTGGCTATAATACTTAAACGGCTCCTGCTATGTCAATAGGATTGGAAGCTTGCAAATAACATTTTTCAGTTCCTGTTTAAAATACTTACTTATCGTTTCACGTTAATAAAACGAAACCGCATGTTCGCTTCCACGTGTTCAAACGGAAATGCTGCTGATCATCAGATATGTCATTTCCGCTCTTCCTCTTCTTTTTTTTATGTCCCGAACGAAATCTATACAAATGAGTTAACCACAAATATCAATTTATTTACAAGAAAAGTATGGTTAATTTTATACCCAGCAGACCTATTGATTCTTGGTATTCGGTAATAAAGCGATTCATCCTATTACCTATAAGTTCAGTGCCATAAAAATGAGATGTCATTCCGGGAACTGTCGTTTTAATATAAAATATGGCAAAGAATTAAATGTGATATAAAATAATTTCGGTCGTAAAAGCGGGGTTTGTAAAGCTAACGATGGCAAAGCTAATAAATTAGGTACTGTACGAATACATTTATTGAAAAATTATTTTATTTACAGTGTCATACCCTTCTATTGTTACAGATAGATATAATTTAATATAAATAAACACTATATGATTTGGTTCAAATTATAAGTGTCGTTAAGATAAGCTTTGAAAATTTTTATAAAATAAATAATTTCTAACAAGTATGAGTCAATGATGTAATTTTCTGCACACGTACCTTGTTTAATTACACATACCATTTTCATACATTCGTGAAAAAAACGAATATAGTTAAATGTCTGAAAGATTATTGTGATGCTTCTATTGTTAAGGTTATTCTTCTTAGCTCATATGAAAAAGTTAAAGTGCATTTTCTGGTGGTTTCTTCATTGCTGAGAGTATCATGACCGAAAATGTCCTTCAATTTCTCTATCTACTCTTTCCTGTTTAGAGAAAATATCTTTATTCTCCCCTGTAAGTAGGATTATTTTTCCTTTCTTCTCTCTAAATAGGACTCTTCTTCATTATTTCCTCTCCTCTTGGTGGGTACAGTCTTAGTTAGAGAGAAGAATGGAGAATAGTCCTATTTAGAGAGTAGAAAGGATAAATAATCCTACTTATAGGGGAAAATGAAATGTTACCTCTAAACAGGAAAGAATAGGACTCTTCCATTATTTCATTTCTGATAAATAGGTCTTTTCTTTCTATTCTTCCCTCTAAACAAGATTATTCCCTCCATTCTCCTTCCTAAACAAGACTCTTTCCACATTCTCTTCCCTCTGTTTTCCCCATCATTTCTACCTAATACATGATCACTGTTGATCTCGAATTAGGTAAAGATAATAGGAGGATAATTTTTATCTTCGGTGTTCTCTTTCCTAAGACAGAAAAGACTTCACTATATTCTTCACACATACGTGTATAAATGAAGTATTCATTAATATCCATTTCATGAAGATATCAACTGAGTTGTAAGTTATATTTTGTAGAGATTATGTAGGTGTTTTACTTTCTTTCGTACTTTTCTTACTTCGTACGAATAAGTTTATGTATGCTTTTCGGTACGATTTACTCATCACTACGTAAATGATTGGATTAACAATTGCAGTCGAATAAATCCCGACAATCCCGAGCATGGTCAATATTGGAAGATCTTTTTCTTTTCTGAAGAGTTTTACGAAAACAATTGGAGTGTAAGAAATTAAGAATATAATAAAAATGACGAGGATCATTCTCAGTAAACGTAAATCTTTGGTTAATTTCTTTTTCCCTTTATTATTTTTCATCGAATTGTTTGAACTCTTTTCGGTATAAAAGCAAAATAGTTTCTTCCACAAATATTTTACCTCAGTTTCTTGTTCCGAATCATTCTTGGATCTTGATAGTCTTCCCGATTTCCTTACAGTCAAAAATATTCTAGTATAGCAATATATGAAGACAAAAATTGGAACGACGAATGCGAAAAAGTAAAAGAATCGCTTGGGGGATTTGCCATTTGTTTCCAGGATGGTACACATACTAATATCGGGATTAAAGCCAAATTTTCCCCAAACTTCTAGAGAAGTAGGTACTAAGGAAAGGAAAGACCATAGCCACAAACAAAGAATCGTAACTATGATAGTAGTTTTAGTATATATCTTATTGTAACTTCTCGGGTGAACGATGATGACGTATCTGTTGACAGCAATGGTGATGACTGTGCTAGTTGAAACAGCTATGTTGGCGTATCCCATCAGAGGAAACAAGTTACAAAGTAAATCGCCGAAAGGCCAAGTCTTGTGGATGAATGTAAAAGCAGCAAGAGGAAAATTAAACGAACAATATAATCCATCGACGATACATAAGTTGATGATGAAGGCAGAGGTAGCATTTTTCAATAAGGGGGACTTCAGTAGAGCGAGGATTGTTAACGAATTTCCTAATATTCCAAAAATGGTAAATACAATACAGCAAGTTGCAGTAAAGTTCAATAGAGGTGTAGGATATATCTGGAACAAAATCTTCGTATTTGTAGAATTTGCAGAAGAATTTCCTCCTAGCTCACTCAATAACATTTTCTCTAACTTTATAGATGGAATGTTATTCGTTCGATGCGTTTACACAGAATAAAGTTGTTGAATGAAATGTCGCTATCACCGGAAATATGACGTTTACATTTACGTAAAGGTTGGTAAAAAAAAAAAAAAGGAAAATGTTGCATTGGAAGTTGGAAAATTATGCAATCTTCTCTTAAAGGTAAATTTCTCTTATTCAAAAGATCAATTCTTAAAATCGATTACTTTTTTCAGTAATGCAGCAATAATCCCGTGTTACAGTGCTTGTCACTTGACAGTGATAATGGCTGTAACCGACAAATTACCACTGAACATTGTAATTTGTCGTGGTTTCGTGCCTCACCAACGGGCTGGGCACGTGGATTTTCTAGGTTTTCTTCAAGTTTGTAACATCTAAACAGAGGCCAGTTTCCCATAAAAGTATTCCTGGGAGGCATCCCCCTAGGTAAATCGCTCACACGTGTCGCATTGCCTTAAACAAATAAACCAAATCAAACTTATCATACTACAATAAATTATTACCTAAAAATATTTTATAATACCGCAGAACCTCTAAATGCATGGGCACGAAAGTAGTAGTTTATACAAGCATAACTCCACTGCGTTATACCCGAAAAAGTTCGCATGGCTTTCTATGGGAAACTTCCTTATTTCGATGTTAATCGGGGTTCTTAAAATTAGTTCCATCGGACATAGGTACATCTTTAAAGTTTCAGTCTTCCGTCTCAATTACAAGTGGATAAAATTTCAGTTGAAACATTTGAAGACGTGATACAAAGCTTTTTAAAAAATCCAGCAACGAATTGCTTAACTTTCCCGGTAACATTCGCTAGCGCCATCTGTTATTGTATTTTATTTTAAAAATTTTTGTATTTTTAACTATTATAAAATGGCAATAAGCTTAATTTTGAGGAATGAGTTTTATTTAAAAAAAATTGTAAATACTAATAACAGGTAAAAACGCCATTAAACCCGATCATACTGGAGATACACACGACAATCTTTACCTTTCCATCCACTAGATCTTTAACCATCAAAATTTAAAAGCATAAGTCCCTCTAATAAACAAACCTCACTGTAAAATTTCAGAAATTTTCGGTAAAAAGCAGAGGAGTTAAGCTTCAAAGAGGGTGAACAAAAAGGTCGAAGAATTTTCCGAATTTTATAGTTTGAATAAATTAAAATATTCACTCTTTCTTACGGACGTGTTGTAACGAAGAGATTTAAAATATAGAAAACACTAAATAATATATTTTAAATATATTTCATTTCAAAATGTTAATGAAAGACATTCTTGAAACATCAAAAACGGAACTTCATCAATTAAAAATAAAAATCTACAATAAAAATATTCTTCGTGGAAATGAGAACGTTCATCAATTGAAAAGTTTCTCTTAGAAATTGTGTAATTCAAAATTAATGAAATAAAATGAAATTTTAAGGTTTTCTTTTCTATTTTTCTATCTTTCCGCTCCGGGCTAACCATTGGCCAAATTAACATTAGTAACGGGCTCTTGCCTGTCCGACGGATTGGCAGTGGTTTTTAGAGTTTTCTGGGTTTTCTCTACCTGTCTAAAATCTAAATAGGGGCCAGTTTCCCATAAAATTTCTTCCCGGAGGCATCTCTCTTGGAAGATTGCCCACGTGTTGCGTTGTCTTATTCCATCAAACCTTTCTATCCAGCGGGCATAAAAATGGTTTTTCTTCTAAACCCATCGTGTGTTCGCTTACGCTGCAATGGAGCGACTGGATGATGAAAGACGGAGACCGGTGAAACATGGACACAAAAACACAAAAAATTCCTGGGGAGTTACTCGCCCTCATTTGATCCCGGTACCACAGTTTATAGATTGTATAACTTGATTCTCATGAGGTCGTTCAAATGATTTACTTTTAGTGTACCCGATTATTAAAATTACATGTTCTCAAACAGTTACCTAAATTAGAATCTGTGAGCTTTGATCAATATTTTGTTTTTATATACATCATATATAATGTATATATGTATATTTTGTAGAGATTATGTAGGTGTTTTACTTTCTTTCGTACTTTTCTTACTTCGTACGAATAAGTTTATGTACGCTTTTCGGTACGATTTACTCATCACTACATAAATGATTGGATTAACAATTGCAGTCGAATAAATCCCGACAATCCCGAGCATGGTCAATATTGGAAGATCTTTTTCTTTTCTGAAGAGTTTTACGNATTAGAATCTGTGAGCTTTGATCAATATTTTGTTTTTATATACATCATATATAATGTATATATGTATTATATGTATTATTCAATATATGTATTATATGTATTATTCAATATATGTATTATATACATATATTGAAAACAGATGTAATTATACGTAGTTGAAAAATATGAACAAATTACCACATTTTGAAAATGCGTTAATATCGCCTATGCTTCTTTTGTGGCAAATTTCTGAAATTTTGCAGACTGGTTGGTTGGTGTATTAAAGGAATTGATGCTATTAAATTTTGTTGGTTAAAACTCCAGGGTTTTCGAGAGATAAAAAGGGTCGTGTGTTGTATCTCAAGTAGTGTCGAACTTAATGACGATTTTACTCGTTATTAGCATTTACAACTTTTTTATATAAAACTCATCTCTACCCTCGAAATTAAGCTTTTTTGCCATTTAATAATACAGTTGTCCCTTGATAATCCGACCCCTGTCGGATTATCAAGGGACAAAAGAGGCGTCGGATTACCAAAAGTGTCCGGATTACCAAAAGTGATTACATATTTGGCATTGTTTTGCTAGCAGTAGCCTACAATATTTCCTATTCCAACTGTTCGAACAGAACTGCTCACGGAAAACACACGAAATGTGTGTCATGGTGTAAGAATTGGTGGGGAGATTCATGTCGCGACGTGCTTCTGTGCAAGCAAACACGTAACGGGGACGGGGACTACTGAGCATGTCGGATTACAAAATGTCGGACTATCAAGGGACAACTGTAGTTTGTATAAAATTCAATGTCTGACAAAAGATTAATATTTAATATTAAATTTATTATACAAAAACTAATTTATGATGAAAATAAATTCGTAAGATATTTGTACTTTTAGCTTTTCATGCAGTTCCAAATTGCAAATTCCGAATTGCCGAATGTCTTGAAATCCATTTTCCATCTAAAAAGATAAAATTATATTAATAAGTAAAATTCAACAATAAAACAAAATAAGATGTATTACAAAAATACTTAATAAAAGGATAATTAACGAAAAAACAACAGATTCGTTTCTTATTAGAGCGTTATTCTCAAGAATCGTTTTTTCATAAAAGTATTTGCTTCGTAGTTCTTTAATCAGATTAATTTTGTTTCGGCTGATAAAGGTCAAAGTGCTTGAATAAGCCAGGGACACTGCTAAATTATATGTTCTCATTATTTTAGCATCTCTTTTAAATACGTCATAACCTCTACTACACAGTGGATTCACCTAAAACTGGTAACGATTGCCATAACATATACTGAAGAAATTTAATGTAGATGATTTCAATTTCGGATATTTAATTTCTCAAATTGGCCGTTTACAGGAACAAATCTGCAAAGGATCCATTCAAACCGTAAATGAGGGCTATTGACCAACAGGGAGCAAGAAAACAATTCATACAAACTTTTTCTGGCTTTTTCCGGCTGTGTTATATGTAACAAAGGGAAAGTATGACGATCGGTGAACTCGGGGGATTTTAAAACGTCAAAGATGCAAAACACTTCGGGGGTTTTTCTGTATGTATGGATGTTAGTGTGTGTGTGGGGAGAGAGCATGATTTTCTTCACTCTGTTTGAAGTTTAATAACTTCTGTGCTTTTTGTCGAAAATTTTTAAAATTTTGCAGATAGGTTTGTTTATTAGTGGGATTGGCACTATTAAATTTTGGTGGTTAAAGGTCGAGGGTACAGGAAAATATAGAGTGGACGTGCGTCATATCTCCAGTTGGGTCAGAATTTATGACGATTTTACTCGTTATTCGTATTTACAATTTTTTATAAAACTTTCAAACTTAAGCTTTTTGCTACTTTATAATATCAATTAAAAATACAGTATAAAATTTATTTTTAATAAAATATCGTAACAGATGGATTCCCCAAATTTTGCCGGAAAAGTTAAGCAACCCGTTGCTGGTATTTTTTATTTTATTTTTACTTTTTTTTTTTGCTGTTTATTTTCGGTAGTTCTATTTAAATTTTTTTCTCAATATACGTATGAAATATATTTTTCTTTGTATATTTTGATGCTTTTGGAAAATAATAATGTTTTCTATTGTATTTGGATTTTCATATGTTTTGCTTGTTGTATGAATTTTACGTACCCACCAGTAGTCAAGCGGTTCCGTTCCCTGAACACTGAAAGTTCGGTCGTTGGTTCGCGCCTGGCCAATGGGATGGCCACGTGTTTTCCGGATTTTCTTCACGTTTGTAACACCTAAATAGGGGCCAGTTTTCCATATAAAACATTTTCGGCAGATCGCCCGTGCGTCGCGTTGCCGTAATCGAATAAAACCAAACAAACCGAATAGATACATTGTAGACAAAAATTATTGCAATTTTTCGGCGATTTATTTCTTTGTTTTAATGTTAAAAAAAGGAAATCAAAAGGAAGGAAATTAGAATGATTCACTCGCTCCCTCTTGGTACTTTCAAATTATCGATTACAGTACTGTACTTTAATCCAACATTAAATCAAAATTACGATGAAATGTATAAAAATTCCAGAGTACTCTCCTGATAGTATATAATTATGGTTAAATATTTTATTATTACTTCAATTTTCATAGGGAAAAAAAACATGCAAAATTCTCATTTCTGTAAGATTAAACATTACAAAATTAACAATCTGATTACAAATTATATTGGAAAACAAGCTTTACCTTAGATAAATTGTTTTCCTTTATTCTAAACAGTCCTTCAATTGATATCTACTTTGAAATACCTGAAGTTAACTCAGAACTATTAGTTTCAGTGTTAACACTCTTCCTATTCAGACAATTGAATAAGACCTTGTAAGCTTTCCTGTATTCTTTACTCATTACAACATAAATGACAGGATTGATGATGGCGGTGAAGTAAATGCAAAGATAACCGAATATATTTAAAACGGGTAAACTCTTCTCTTTCTTGAATATTTTCACAAAAACAACCGGAAAATAACAAATGATAAAAACGATAAAAATAGTTAAAATAATTCTCAATAACTTAAGATCCTTTGTAATTTTCTTCTTTTGCCTTTTCTCTTCGCTTGTCATTTGAATTTCTTCTTCCTTTTCTCCGAAACAGCATAACTTTGACCAATAACTTTTGCTTTTTTCCTGCTCCAAACCGTATTTTCTTCTTAAGTTCCTTTCAGATCTTCTAACAGTTAAATATATTCTAGTGTAACAGTATATAAACACGGCGCTGGGTAGTGTGAATGCCATAGCGTACAAGAAGTTTTTCGGAGACTTTCCACCCCTTTCTAGAATGGTGCACGTACTTACTTTATAACTGAAACCAAAACTACCCCAAGCGCCAAAGGCTGTGGGTGTTAAAAGTAAAAAAGAACCTACCCAGATGCTGAGGATGATGATAGCGATGTTGTATTTTGTGTATATCTTATCGTATCGCTTCGGGTGTACAATAATAACGTATCTGTTTATAGTAATGGCGATGACTGTAAAGAGAGAAAGGCCAACGTTAGAGTAACGAAACATGGGATAAATCTTGCATAGTGTATCACTGTACGGCCATGACTTGTGTATAAAAGTCGAAGCTGCAAGAGGGAAGGTGAAAGAACAGTAAAATCCATCCACAATGCATAGATTTATGATGAAAACTGACGTGGCATTTCTAAGTCGAGGTGATTTCAGTAGAGCGAGTATAGTGAGTAAGTTACCAGTCACTCCGAATACAGTATAAGTGATGCAACAAGTTGTAGCGAAGTGTAACAAAGACGACGGATACGTCTGGAACAATGTAACCTTATCGGTGAGGTTTTTAGAAATATTCGACACTATTGGGCTTTCTAGTTCCATCGTAGCCATTTCTGAATTACAATACAAGCAAGAAACAACCTTTCACTGGCAATTAATTACATAAAAGTAGTTAGAGAACAAATGCCATAACGTTATCAGTTCGAAATAATTGCATAATTTTCCTATGAAGGAACTGTTGTAGCTTTTTCCGCTTATCCTGTCTCTATTACTAAAATGAATATATTAATATGGAAATGAATTTAAAAAATATGTGAAATATTCAACCTTTATTTATGAATTTAAACATCTATAAATATGAACATTTTATCACCTGAATTATATTAAAGATAATAATAGATAACAGTTTATAAAAAAAAATATGTCTATATATAACTTATGATGATAACGATCTCATAATGATTTTCTATATATATATTTTTTTCATTTTAATCTCATAATAATAATTAAAAATAAAGTACATTTTTGTATTCTAGTGTATTTTATGAAGAAAGGAAGTGAATACATCTGTACTAATTTTTTTTTTTTAAATCGATAATAATTAATTGATAATAATTATTTAAATTAAATTTCCAGAATTACCATAAAAGTCTATGTAGCATAATCTATAGCAAATGGCACCCAAACTAAGGCCCTCGGGGCTTTATCCGGCCCACAACATATTTGACACATCACTTAAGACAGCAATAGGCTTACTATAGCCTAGTCCTTGTACAATATTATCATGTAATATGGTTTTTGGGCTGCAATTTGAAAAATTGTAGACCTATAAATTTCCACTGTCGTCCGTCTGTCTGTCTTTCTTTAATCTCGAGAAGAGAATTAAATGAAATCCGACAACAGTGTGGAAAGCTTAGAGGCAGAAAGCCTCGATTACTGTATACGAACTTCCGATACAAACCGGAAGTTACGTTATTTTAATTCAAAAATTTTTTCCCTGTAAGGTGTTAGATAGATGACGTCACGACTCTGTTTCTAATGGAAAGTATTATGTACAGGGGCAAGACACTACCAATTTCAGGCGGATAGCATATATTTTTAATTAAATTAAATAAATTTAAAAATTATGATTAAAAATTGCAGCCTGGCATTAAATAATTGCTCGTTACATTATATAAACTTATAAAAGATTAGATTAGTTTACGTTTGCAAGGGCCTAGCATTATATGAATTCTATTGTTATATCGTAATTAATTTGTTGAATCGCTGGGCCCACTAGTGCCCGAGTAGGCCTAGATAAAACCACCAAACACTGGTACTGTAGTTGGTCGTGGGTTCGGCCACGTGGAGTTTACCGGGTTTTCTTGGCGTTAGTAATACCTAAATAGGAACCAGTTTCACATAAAAGATTCTCCCTTGGCAGATCGCCCATGTGTTACATTACCGTATACGAATAAAAATTAATAAAGCCAATCTACCCAGTAGGTAATCATTACCTTTTTAAATGAATGGTTTTGAAATAAAAGCAGGAATTAGCTCAATGAGCGTAATTACAACCATTACGAACAGATATGGCCCATAATGGGGTCGTCCTGAATGAATAAAAATGAGGAAAGACGATCCAGAGTGATACAACCCATAATAAATTACATTTCAAACTTCGGATCTGCCAAGAAAAAAACACTTGAGAATGTAGATCTTGATTTCTCTTGATTCGAAATCGATGGCTCGCAGCAGGATAGCCAATTAATTAATTTAATATTAAAAATATAAATACGCATTATTCTCGTTTATATCACCACAAAAATCAGTAATTTGTAACTGAACGTATATATATGCCAGGACTCGAAATTTTCGAGTCGAAAATAAAGAGGATTTGTAAAACGTTTATAAAGGTTTGCACAGGTATTTTTGACCCTAGGATCCATCTTGTGGACATTAAGAGGGCGTTTTTGGAAATCTCTTTATGAGTTTAGCTAGGCCCAGAATGGAACGGACAAACTCCGACCTCCCGTAGGATAATTCATAAACTTTCTCGACTCGTTTGGATTCGATCTCGGGTCTCCAGAGCGGTAAACCGTAACCTTAACCGCTCGGCAATCCGGCCGATCGCACACTTATTGTAATATTTTACACCCCGCGATTAAATATAATTCTCATTTGTAAACGAAAAATGTTATCACAAATCAATTAATGATGCGAATGTCCGAAATTGTGTTTAATTAATTGATGGAAATTGTGATTGCCAGAGTTTCTTCGGCCGCCAATTTAAAGATTTTTAATCCTTGAAATCGGTATTTCCACTTCCCGGGACGAGGATCTCAAGGGTTAGATTTGTAGGAAGCGAGTGTTCGGGTTGTTTCATTTGTTGAATTACAGAGTGAGAGACTTGTATTCGACGAGTGAAGGTTAAACGGTAAATATCTTCGCATAGAGTGATGTTATGTCCGAGTGTGAGTGTTCCGGAATGATCCGACTTTCTTCCCGAACAGTGTTATGAGAGAAGCGAAAGACCCGACCTAAGCTAACGGGTCGAACAATCTCCATGAATTTTTGGAGGTCCGTCCGGATACGTCGGTCCCCGTCCCTTACCACCCGGCCGCCCATTAATGGGCTTACTAAAAGAGGTTCTCTTAGTACACACGGGGCTGAAAGAGTTAAAAATTAAGTTACCTGAATTAATTTACACCTACGTTAAATAATTTAAAATAAACATTTATAACACCCCGTTTTAACGTTTACGTATGTATATTTAAATAATTGAAATAATGGCCGCTTCGGCGCCGCGATCGCGGGGAAGCGACTTTGTGACGAATTTTGTTTTGATAATGGAGATTACGAAGAAGAACCATTTTGATCGATATTTATTTCCCGTTTAAATCACAAGATATTTATATTTTTTAAAAGAAAGGCATTAAAAATGGACTATTCTTGCCATTCGAACACCAAAGAGGTGGAAGTGAAGGAGTGCAAAGATGAGCACAAACCAGAAGAAAAGGCTTACGTTGAACCAACGGGGAACAACAACAAAATGGTGTTCAAAATGCCACTAATTATTGACAGGAATAAGTTATTAAAGCATAACGTTTTAGACAAAGAACAACCACTCAATATGACCAAACAGAATTTGGACGAAGCGGAAAAAGAATCCAATGATTCAATGGAAGTAAAAGAAAATAAAAAGACCGAATTACCTTACGTCGAACCTTCATGGGGTGGAAAGCCAAAGGAATCTTACGCTTTCGAGGTGCTGAAAAATGGCATCATAGTATCTACCGTAGACGTATCCGATAGATCTTACACCGTTTTTGGTAGATTGACTAGCAGTGATATTACTCTGGAACATCCATCCGTTTCCAGATATCACGCCGTCTTGCAATTTAGATTAGAATCGAGTGAGGAGAATCCCAAAGGTCAGTATTAATATGCATCTCGTGCATGAATTTTTTTAATTGAATAATTAGAAAATATGTAAAAAAAATGCCGGGTCTGTATGTATTTTTAAAGGTTTCTTCGAGTTTTCATGCCTTTGCGTTTTTTTTTTTTTTTTAATTTTTTTCCGTCTCGGAGCGCCGGGATGGACTTTTTTTTGTGCCGTGCGGATCTTGCGGGCGACCGGACGGCGAAGGACCGAGCCGCTCGTAGAAGTTTTCGGGGACCCGATGCGCGAATCGGTGTTTCGACTGCCTCGGTTGTCCGGCCGTTTGTTTTAATCCGACAAAAAAAAAATAATCTAATTTCTTTCTTGGGATATCGGTAAACTGACGTGCGTGTTACGTTGATGTCGCCGACAGAACTTTAATTGCCGTGGGATGTGATGCGTGTATGCTAACGATAAATCGATTAACGGTTTTAACACTTCGACATTTATGCAATAAATTAAGTGCGGTTCGTGTAAAAATTATGAGAAAACTGCGCTGTCGGATTAAGTTTAATTTGGATGATGCCAATGAGTATTCTTGTTACTTGCGTGATCAAAGTAAAGAGCATAAAGAGCATAGATTTATCTTCATTCGTCTTTTTGGTGGATGATTTTAGTATTAGTATTTAGTAACTATTTTAATATTGGTGGCATTTGACCCAAAAGGTTGATTTGTCTTTCGAGCCAAATGCCGTCAATTTGTGAGTACCATTGCATTTTGAATTACCTTAATTCTCGGAACTACCTTACTTTTGGCTTTAAGTTATGGGTACGAGAGTAGATTTTTCCAACGGGATGATGCCTCTTTCTACATTTTGCAAACTATTGAACTTTAACCCGATTAGAGGAAAGAAAGTGATGATAATGAATTGGCCGGTCTTGAGCCCTAATTTAAATTTCTTGGAGAATTTGTGGGAAAAATGTCTTGTGTTTGATGTGCTGTATAGTCTTTAGTATAGTTAAAGCATAAGGCATTTCCACACAGTATTAGGAGCAAAATGCTTTCATTTATCATAAATAGATATAGAGGCATACCTCGACTTACGTCGNTGTAAAAAAAATGCCGGGTCTGTATGTATTTTTAAAGGTTTCTTCGAGTTTTCATGCCTTTGCGTTTTTTTTTTTTTTTTAATTTTTTTCCGTCTCGGAGCGCCGGGATGGACTTTTTTTTGTGCCGTGCGGATCTTGCGGGCGACCGGACGGCGAAGGACCGAGCCGCTCGTAGAAGTTTTCGGGGACCCGATGCGCGAATCGGTGTTTCGACTGCCTCGGTTGTCCGGCCGTTTGTTTTAATCCGACAAAAAAAAAATAATCTAATTTCTTTCTTGGGATATCGGTAAACTGACGTGCGTGTTACGTTGATGTCGCCGACAGAACTTTAATTGCCGTGGGATGTGATGCGTGTATGCTAACGATAAATCGATTAACGGTTTTAACACTTCGACATTTATGCAATAAATTAAGTGCGGTTCGTGTAAAAATTATGAGAAAACTGCGCTGTCGGATTAAGTTTAATTTGGATGATGCCAATGAGTATTCTTGTTACTTGCGTGATCAAAGTAAAGAGCATAAAGAGCATAGATTTATCTTCATTCGTCTTTTTGGTGGATGATTTTAGTATTAGTATTTAGTAACTATTTTAATATTGGTGGCATTTGACCCAAAAGGTTGATTTGTCTTTCGAGCCAAATGCCGTCAATTTGTGAGTACCATTGCATTTTGAATTACCTTAATTCTCGGAACTACCTTACTTTTGGCTTTAAGTTATGGGTACGAGAGTAGATTTTTCCAACGGGATGATGCCTCTTTCTACATTTTGCAAACTATTGAACTTTAACCCGATTAGAGGAAAGAAAGTGATGATAATGAATTGGCCGGTCTTGAGCCCTAATTTAAATTTCTTGGAGAATTTGTGGGAAAAATGTCTTGTGTTTGATGTGCTGTATAGTCTTTAGTATAGTTAAAGCATAAGGCATTTCCACACAGTATTAGGAGCAAAATGCTTTCATTTATCATAAATAGATATAGAGGCATACCTCGACTTACGTCGTTTTCCTGGAACCAATTACCGACGTAAGGCGAGGTATACCTGTATATATATTTTTATTAAGCTTTAATTTCCTTCCAAGATTGGGTTGTTTAATTTGGAAAAAATTTAATATGCAAATTTTGTATGTTCTTTCTATCACAGGAAATAAATTATGAAATTCTTTGAACCTTTTTTGTATATTACAATTTTTACATACATTAAATTTTTGTGTATTATAGTATTTTAATTATATGCATTTATATTTTCATTGTCTCTTAATTTTTGTTGGCCAACAAAAGTGTATTAAATTTGTTCAAACCTATATGTGTTACATATCATTTTGATCAGCTCAGTACAAGGATGACCCAAAAATTAGAAAATGTAAAAGTCACTTTCAAATGGAACGTAGAATGTGCAAAAATCACAAACTTTTCCATAGACTTTTTGGTGAGAAATTTCAGCAGCAAGTGACAGTTGCTATGGCAACTTGGAAGCCAAAGTAGGGTGTTTCCTGTTTGATTTGCAAAGTGTTTCTGTTTTTACTTGATTTTTAACACATTTGATGCAACTTTCAACACAAATTTGGAACTAATGACAAGCGTTTGCATATCATAGCACTGCTGATCTGAATAATTCATTGTTTTTTTTTTTTTTTTAATTCTTATGCCCAATAAAACTCTGCATTGTCGACAAAAAATTTTCCTAGTTGGCTAGACAAAAAAAATACTGACATTATCTCTGAAACATTCAGATATTCTTGGACATCTTGACATTTTTATATATAGGTCAACAGATCGGAATTTCTTGTATAAACATTTCCTCGCATATAGAATATAATGTTTATTTAACCAATATATTTTGGCTAAGCAAGCATAATAATTGTTAAAATTGATGATAAAAAATATTTAAATATTCATTTATTTAACTAGATATTTAGTTGATTTATTTCATAAAAAATCAGTAGTTTCTATAATAATTTTCAAAACTAATGTAATCAATTCAATTTTGATTACATTAAAATTAATATACTGTGTTTTTAAATAATTAATGATAATTAATATAATATTTTGTTTTTTTAATTCTTTCTGCCTATTGGGTAATAGATGGTCTTTTCTGGGTCCACAATAGGGATAGCCAGATAATGAGAGATGGAACTTGACATATCTGGGACATGCTACCCTTGATAAATTTCTGGCATTTACTGCTCAGATTTGATCCCAGATTCCCCAGAATTAAAAGGGTTGATGTCTTTACTGCTTTGGCCATTCGTTTATTCTGAATGCAACTTTTATATATCAACAGAAGTAATTTTTCCATGCTATTGCTAGATAAAAATTATCATATGATACTTGATTAAACACATCGGTATTATTAATAAAAAGGATTAATAGGTTAAGTAAGGCATTGGTATTATTAATGATTAATGGGTTAAGGCAATGGAACACATGGGCACTCTGCCAAGGGATATTCCTTTCAGAAGACTGGACGCTGTTTAGTTGTTAGACATGTGACAAAAACATGGAAAATGCAATGTAACCAGCCTGCTTCAGGCATGAACCCACAACCAACTACCAGTGTTCAGTGGTATTAATCAAACAGCCATTGGTGGGAAAAATTTCTTTTAACTTTACCTAATTCTCAATTTACATAAGTTTGTCAATTGTTTGGGAAAGTTTTGTGTAAAATGAAATTGTGTAAACTGAGAGTAACAGTTAATGAAAAATAGAGTAATGTGTTCCAAGGTTATGTATTTTCCATATGATTGTTAGTTTTGCTTCACACAATTTCAATTTACACAAAACTTTTACAGAACCGATCTATACATAACTTAAGTCAAGTGTTAGCTGCATTATTTTTGAGACGAATACATTACCAGTAAAAATCTGATAAACCTTTATGTATCTTCTTTTTAACAATCAAACGATCAATAAAATTTCTCTTTTTCAAATGACTCCCAATAGACACAATTTTAGTAGTATCCCAGTAAAATTGGAGACTAGATGGCCAAAGCAGTTAAGTGTTGGCCTGCTGCTCTTGGGAATCAAGGATCCAATCCAAGCTATTGAAAAATCCCAGAAATTTTGTGGGTAATCTATCCCAAGTATCCCAGATCCTGTCCCCGACCACCCAGCCTTATCCAATTTTTATAACAAAGTTATTATCTGATTGTGTAATATCCATGAGAACTTCATTGCTACTTAGAGAAGATATCATACATTTTACAATGTGCAATGTCTTTTCTAAATATCAATGGCATTAAAATTGTATTTATCAGGAATTCTATGATTAAGTATTAATTTAAATCTGCAATTTTTGTAGTTAATGTTTCATTTTTAAGTATTTTTTCTTTCTCAATACTTTGTCCCAGAAAGATTTCTACTATAATATCTAAATTGTCATCAACTTTGCATTTATGGAACAAATTTTCCAGCAGCTTTTTTTATCTATGGTGTTAATACACCATTTCTTCCTGTTGATTTATTAAAACTGAACAATGAAGCATGACTGTGGAATCAGAATTGGAAACAAATTCGTTGCCAGAGGAGTTAATAAAAACAGAACAACTCCAACTCCTATGTGTTTATTATGTACTGTACTTTATATTAAGCTCCTAATAAGCACATTAGCATCCTATCTTGTATTGTAGGAGCCTCCTGTAATAGAAGATCCTATTTTATAATGATCTCCTACTTCATAATCTTTCTTTCCATATCAGTAATTACTGTTGATTTTCTGTACAGAAATTTATATTTGAAGATATTCTGTTAGCTAATTCTAAATTTTTATTGTCAAATGGCTAAAACGAAGGCTAAATGTAGTGTTTTTTTTGAATATTTTAATATAACCACAGATGGTAAACATTTTGTGTATTAGTGTGTAGATGAAGATGAGAGTGGTGGTAATTAAAAATTCTGAAAAAGATCAGTATTTTCAGTTGCAGTAAGAATGCTGGATGATTTAATTATAAAATGCTTAAAAACTAGCACTTGATTGTGATGAAATACCATACTGGGTTAATATAATCAAAATATATTTTAAATTATTATTTAGAAGCAGGAATCAGAGTTGGACTTTCTAAAATTTGATGAGTCAGAGTTAGAGGTTTGGTTTATCAACTCCATAACCTTGCAGTTTATATTATAATTTGTTTAATATACAGTGGTACCTCAGGATACGAAATTAATCCGTTCCGAAACTGAGATCGTATCATGAAAATGTCGTAAGGTGGATCATCTTTTCCCATACGATTACATGTAAAACCAAATAATTCGTTCCAACGCGAAAAACATACTCAAATTAAAGCCAAGTAATACATTTAAAAAAATAACTGTAGTAAGAAAAACAAATGAATAATGCGAACTAATGTAACGTCGTATGGTGAGGTTTTGTTCGTATCGTGGAGCAAAAATATGTTCGAATTTCATGTCGTATCCTGAAAATTTCATATGCTGGGGCGTTCGTAACCTGAGGTACCATTGTATTTGCCTTCAACTTCAATCTTGTCCTTGTACAGAATAGCAAAGATTTTGCACTTGGTAGTTGAGCTTCTCCAAATTCTTTGAGATGGTTTGATACACTCTTGCTTTGATATATTGCCATGAAAGGATGCCTTAAATATTTACATCTGGAGAATATGCAGGTCTACTTTCCAGATACTTTCCACAATGCAAAGATTATTGAAGATGAAAGCAAATGTATTGAATACATTGTAATATAAATGGCTCTAAATGCTAATATGAATATTTTAGTAAGATTTGCAAAGTCCTTTGAAGTTTTAATAAAGCATTGAATGTAATAAGGTTGGTTGGTAATAAGCAGAAGTTTTAATGTAACTTTTATTAAATTAATAGTACAACTATTTACAGAGAGCACTTTCAAAATAAATGTCATTTAATTAATATACACACTAATTCTGCCAATCTTCATACCATTTTTTTAAATCAGTTTTTCTGCCCATTCTGCATTACTTGTTCAAGTGCAATCATCACAGGATTTTTACATTTTACTGATTTGAATATGTTGCCCTCTGGTAGAGTTTTCATTTTGGTGAAGAGAGTTTTTATGAGTGAGATATGACAAATAAAGATGATGTGCAGGTATCTGATGTTCTGTTTGCCAGATATTCACTTAAGAGAATGTGATTTTGCATGATAGAGAAATCAGTTTTTTTGCTTGCAGAGAGGAGACTGTTTTTGTTGTACTGTATTACAGAGGTGACCGAGAATATCACTGTGTGACTTCTTGTTAATGTGTGTGTTGTTGAGAACAGATTTGTAAATGCATTAGACTTTCTCATCAAAAAAATGATGAGGTTAAAAGACATTGTAACAACTGTATTCGAAGTAATGCAGAATAGGCTGTTAGAATGTTTTACTAATTTGTGTAACTACATTGTGTTTTACTACATTGGCAGAAGTGTGTAACTGCAAAAGGTGCTTATTTTGAGAAAGGTCTTCTGTAAATACATAGGCTGTTTTTTTTTTCAACCTCCGATAGTCCATAAAAAAAAAGACAAGTGTAAATAACAAAATGAATTTATTAACAAAAAGTTAGATACAAACATGGTTACTTTTCAACATAATTACCGTGAAGATTGAGGCATTTGTCATATCTGTGGATGAGCTTTTCCATTCCTTGTCATAGAATGTTGTTGTCAATGGCTTGGTCCTAGATGGCCCCTAACGTTGTTTTGAAGATCGTCATTAGTCTCAAACCTCTGCCCTCCTAGCCACTTTTTCCGTTCAGGAAAGAGGTGGAAGTCACTTGGTGCTAAATTGGGGCTATATGCTGGGTGTTTAAAGGTGGTGAAGACTTCCACCCAGCTTGGAACTTTTTAATGTGTGAAGACTTTCACCTCTTTCCTGAACTGAAAACTTGGCTAGCATGGCAGAGTTTTGAGACCAATGATGATCTTCAAAACAACATTGTTAAGGCCATCTCAATTCACTGGCGGCAACATTCTATGACAAGGGATGGAAAAGCTCATCCATATATATGACAAATGCCTCAATCTTCATGGTAATTATGTCAAAAAGTAACCATGTTTGTACCTAACTTTTGGTAATAAATTCAGTTTGTTATTTACACTTGTCTTTTTTTATGGATCATCTGAGGTAAAAAAAAAAACAGCCCTTGTACTTGTGCTATTAACATAAAGAATTATATTAAATTTTAAATACAGATTCTTCCAAAAAGAATACTATTGTTTTAAATTACTGTAATTATGTTAATTACTATCCAAGAAATATGAGACACACCAATCAATAGCATTACCATCTAAGTTTCATCTCCCATCTGCATTCAAACATCTTGTCTTCTACACTGTAGGACGTGCTGTAAACAAAAATGGTGACTCTGCAACACAAGTAGGCTGTGGGAACTGTAGAATTGCAGATGGAATGGGAGAAGGGGCAATGGATATACCATAGCAAAGAATTTGAGTATTGATCAGACGTGTGCTATGTGACACAAGCTGTACACATTAAGAAGTTTTAATGTAAAAATATGAAATTTGGACAGTTTTCCAATGTTTTAATGTGTGTTATGACATTCTCGGATAATACTCGTAATTAATATAATTACTGTAATTTAAAATGGTAACATACTTTTTTGAAAGATCCTGTATTTGTCTGAAAGATCACATATAAATGAATCACATGCTGATGGAAACCAATTAGCATCACTAGAAAATTCTTACTGGGTTTTGAACTTGGTTATTTTGATGGATACTAGTAACAAAGGATTTATTGATATATGAGACTCATTTTAATAATTGGAACCCTTATACAGAGTTATTCTTATATTACAATTACTTGATAATCAGCATTACTAAACATTGATTTTGCAATTATTACAAGTTGTTAAGATATTTTTCATTTCAGGTTTTTACATTTATGATTTGGAAAGTACCCATGGAACATTTTTAAACAAAGAGAGATTACGACCAAGGACTTACTACAGAATGCATGTTGGCCACATGCTTAAGTTTGGTGGAAGTAGCAGAATGTTTATTTTACAGGTTTGTTCATATAAATTTATTACTTGGATTTAATTATGTTTAAATTAGGTAAAAAGAAGGAGGTGCCTGTGCAGAACTATTACCTGAAGGCCATTCCATAAAAAGACCAATGTTAGTTTGATATTTGTAAAAAGAATGGGCCTTGGAATGACTGAAAAATTTTGATTTATTAAATTTTATTATATTTTTAAACGTTTTTTTTTTTTGCTATACAATTGTTCTAATTGCTTGTACAGCTACTTATGCAATGTTTTCTGCATCTGTACATTGGTTTGAAAATTCTGTACTCATCACCTCTTTAAGCAGTCCAAACAAGTGATAATCACATGTGAGATCTGTTGAATGTAGAGTTTGTAAAACACTCCACATGCAGTTTTTCCATGAATGCAACTGTCTGTATAAGCAATAGTATGTTTTTGTTACAGAAGAACCCTGTTACATTCAATCAGGATGATATGCTGAACCATGACTGGTGTTACATTCAGCTATCACATCCATTGTAACAAGCCAGTTTTTCTGTAAAATGCATTCAACTTCAGCTATTGATTGTGATGTGAGCTTCTCCTGGTTTCTGATCATATCTGTAGAAGTCATGCTACCTTCAAACTCTCTATGCCACTTGTGCACTTGCTTGCATTCTCATACTAAGCCTTCATTTTGTAATGAATTTTTGCTTCTTTACCCCTTCACTACTAAGGAATCTGATAACAGAATGACACTCCTCCCTGGACATGACTCAAATGAGATGGCCATCTTAGGATTGCTGCTGTAACATCATAAATGTAATCAGATACAGTTTTCTAGTACCACCCACTTTCCAGATGTCCTTCAACAATGTTGCCAATTTTAAGAAAATTACACAAGTTTTAAAATTTTTACATACAATTGAAGGTTTTCATTTGACTGATATATTATATCTACCATTTTTTTGTGATGGAAAGCTACTTATTTTTAAAGTGCCACCATTAAACTTTTGCAATTTTAAATGTTAAAAAACTTGGCAGACACGTTGTTTAATTTTTAAAAATACAAAAAATTTCGCAAACTTCTTTGCTTTCCTTCCGTCTTTTTGTGTCCGTCGGCAGTCCAGAACAAATTTATATGCGGAGACAATAAAATACAATGAAGTAAATATTAATATTTAATTCATTTAATGTATTTTATTGTGAATTTGACTAATCTTCAGGGGACGCTGTTCCAGTTTGCATATTGTTGTGGAGCCGTAGCCTGTAAGGAAAGGCCGTCTCAGCATATAAATTTGTTCTGGACTGCCGACGGACATAAAAAGATGGAAGGAAAGCGAAGAAGTTTGCAAAATTTTTTGTAAATTTTTTTTTTTTTTTTTAGATTTTACAATTTTATTGTCAAAGATGATAATTTGACAATTTCATTCAATCACTTATGATCTGATCTATTGTTTCTGTTTCATCTTTATGGACATGCATTATTATTATGATATTATAATTTGACTTTTACAGTCTTTCTTTCAATAATGTAATTTGTACTAATGACCACTTCTGGGTTTATTTGTTCTAATGAATTTTCCTTCTTTTAGGCTCAGAAAAAAAGACTTACAAAAGGATTCTTTAGTAAGTTTTTTTTTTTTGTAATGTTTGACTTTGGGGACACTTTTGTGCATCTTTTGTCATGGATTTCATTCTTTGATGCACTTTTCTTGTACTTGAGATAGATGCAGAAGCAAACTTTCTTTTCAATGTCAACTTGATTTCATTTTCATAATTTTGCACTTAAGTTAATGATCTGAAGGACAATCTTTATCTTGTTTTCCTCAAAAATTTATGATGCTTCTGTGCAAAGAAAAACTTAAAGAAACAAACAGTTCCAAAGCTGCAGGACTACAGAAAAACATTTAAGAGAGAGATTTTGATGTGTTATATGAAGTTTGGAATGTTAATGTTCTGTTTTGAAAAGCCAGAAACTTTTTTATATTATTAAGTTAATCAAAATTAAAGAAGCCTAATTAATTCAGATGAAAATGTAGAGTAACTATTATANTTTTCTTCCTTGAATAAACAGTCTGTTTAATTTAAATTATTTTTTTAACTTTTTAATATTGTTATAAAAACATTAAATAGGCATAAATATAAATTTGTCAAAGTCTAAATGTATAAAATAACATTTGATCAGACATTTAGAAATTTGGGATGCATAATATGTTTTGAAAAGCCAGAAACTTTTTTATATTATTAAGTTAATCAAAATTAAAGAAGCCTAATTAATTCAGATGAAAATGTAGAGTAACTATTATAAAGAAGAAATTAGGAAGGAAAAATTAAATTAAAAACAATTTTTTCTATTATAATTTGTTTCTGCATTAATATTTTCTATACCACTACACACAGCAATTGATTTTGTTATTTCTATAAATATCTATAAAGAGTATGCATCTTTATAAACAGCCATATTGATTAAAGATTTGGCTCAGAATTATAATTTCTTAGACTGAGTTTTGGTTATCAAATTAGAATAGATCCTTTATAGTCTAAATTATTGATTACTAATTAAATAATTAATAATTTTGATAATGCATTAAATAAAATTTATAATTTCTCCAAAAAACTGGTGTAATTTTTAAATCCATTTGTATATAAAAATTTGAATAATTTTTGGTCTATGATCAATATAATTAAAAGTTAATTTTGAAATTTAATTAAATGCTTCTGGACAAAAAGATTTACTTGAATTCATCTTTTGCTTATTGTGCTGATGGGTTACAAGTAAAAGCTTCATTGCTGCATGCATTTGCCAGAAATTTTTTTATTAATTGTGGCTAATGAAGCATGCATTAAGAGCAAAATTTTAGCAGTAAATGATAAAAGTGCAGTTTAGAATATAGGAGCACAAATTTATATTCATATAGCTGATAACAATTGATAAGTTTTAAAAATCTTTGTTAATTTAATAAAATTGAGATCCTATATCTTGTGCTTTTGTCATTTTATTTTTATAAAAAGTAAACATTTTCATATACATTTAACCAAATCTTGTGTTAAGTAATGATATTAAGCTATTAAAACCCAATTTTATAAATCTAATATTATAAAAAATCTTATTTATATCTAGAGTTAGCCAAAGCTGTCAGTATTAAAAATTATATATTGTGGATTCCTGCTTTTATTATCTAATTTTCTCTCAAAACCAGGGATTTTTTAAACCATTTTTGAGATCCTCACTCAAATTTTTTAAAAACCTTACATAAATACAGAAATAGAATGTAAATATTAGTAATAAACAGTAAGGTCCCATACTGTGGCTATGTATGTCTCATGCATTATGAGGATCTATCTGGAAGTTTGGCATTAAATAACCATTCTGTTTCCGATAAGCTTAATGCCATGATTGACATTACACTCTGGAAAATGAAGTTCTAACTATATAATATATACAAACAAAACATGTAACTCTAATTATAACGTTGAATGACTTCTAACTCTACATCAAAACTAGATAGATTTCTTGAGAAGTTTCCACATAACAGATACAAAACAATATAGTCAGTCTTGTCCTGTGTAAAGAATTCATACTTCATTCGTCATTTGCTATACCTTTAAGAAGTCAGTCTTTAACACTAATAAAATGATTTCCAAGACAACGATTAGATTGAAAGCCAAGCTTTACTCTAAACTTGTCTTATCTACAAAGCTATCTTATCAAACAAGTTTGAAGTAAATGTTGGCAATGTTTCCCCCAAAAGTTAGTTGATCATTGCAAAGATTAAATTGGTGGTTTATTCAAATACTTACAACAGTATGTGGTTAATTGATCTTTGCACCACTTTGTACTTATGAAATATATAATTCTTGTATTCTTAAAATTTTGTTAATTAAAGACTAAAGATTTTTAATATATAGAATTTATAATCAGGGACCATCAGAAGATGAAGAAAATGAATCTGAATATACTGTAACAGAAATAAAGGAAATGAGAAGACAGCAGGAAGAAAAATTGAAAATGTTAGAGGAGAAAGAGAAGTGTAAAGAAGAAGAATCTCATGAAAGCGAAGGAATTGATTGGGGTCTTGGTTAGTCGTAACTTAAAAATCTTTTTTGTGTAATAAGTTTTAATTCAAACTGTTTGTATGGCAAGTTCTCATTTAATGTCATTGATATGTTCTTAGAAACTATGACATTAAGCAAAATGATATGTAATAAGACCAATTTACCGTAGACTAAATCATAAAAAAGAAGATATAATTTGGTTAATAATCTAATTGGATCTGGTTTGCAACTGCCAACATTTGTTTTCTACCTCATAAAATCAATTTGACTGTTTATAAAGAAAATTCAACAAAAATAACTGTAAATGATTACAGGTGTAAAGTACTCTTCTCAACATTATTGTAACAAAATGATATTAAATGAAGACTTGCTATATTTATTAATCAGACACCAAGAATTATGTAAAGAAGTTTGCTTGAAATATCATTAATTGATATGTCTGTTGTCTGTCTTTTCTCAGTATATCTGAGAAAATGCAAAATATTAAAAGTAAAATGTAGAATTTTCACAAACAGATTTTCAAAAGACTAAGCTTAAAATTGTCACTTATTTTGTCCATTTTCAATATGAAAATGGACAAAATTTGGTCTTGTGTTAAAAATTAGACTGTTTATTTAAGGAAGCAAAAATATATTTGATCAGAAATGTTTCTGACTGTTGTTCTAGCCATTTTCAGCTTACAAGTATATTGAATAGTGGAACAAGATACTGTTTTACAGTGTTCAGTGTTCTGTAACTATTATTTCTTTTTGTTTTGCATTGTTCAATGTATTTAAGCTGAAGATGGGCAGAATAATGTCCAGAAATGTTGCTAGTTTAAATTTTTCTTCCTTGAATAAACAGTCTGTTTAATTTAAATTATTTTTTTAACTTTTTAATATTGTTATAAAAACATTAAATAGGCATAAATATAAATTTGTCAAAGTCTAAATGTATAAAATAACATTTGATCAGACATTTAGAAATTTGGGATGCATAATATTTGTTTACATTGGGTTCTCAACCTTTTTTTACCCACGGACCCCTTTTCCTCTTAATTTTTTTTTTTTGTGGACTCCCCGTACATTGCACATAAAAAAACCTTATATTTTTTTGTTACATTGTTTCAAATTGGAAAAATATTTTCATACTGAAGCTCTGAATTTCAAAAAAAAGTAACTGTATTTATGAACTAGCACTTTTAATACCTCTTATCTTGTCAAGATGGAGTTTTGCACAGAACTGAAGGTTAGGGTTAAAATAAATTGATTACCTTTATACCCTCCCTAATCTTCGCAATCTGGAACAAACTGGCACAAAACATTCAGAAATGTCACTGTCAAGTGACATGACGCTTGACATGAAGCTTAATATTTGGACCTGATGGTATAAGATTCTCCTAACAGACCCCAATTTTATAATTTCTCTTTGATCTTTGTCAATGAGATATATATGTTATTTATGTATTCAATATTTTAAATAATTTATATTTTAACTCTTATGCAAGAAATAAGTAATAAATAAATTGACAATATACTGTACAAATTTAATTTTCAGTAAAACAATTGTTCTGAAGTAGAATTACCCTATAGACCTCTAAAATATCACCGTGAACCTCCAATTCAGTATTTTTTTCTGTGAACCCCAGTAATGTTACATGGACCTCAATTGAGAACCGTTGGTCTATATGTATAATATCTTTGCAGAAATAATTGTTATGGGATTGTTCTTAGTTTGCTAGGTCATAATTTTTAATTCTTCTCTGGGCACAGATGCTTGAGTTTTTCAGATTTTATCGTTAAAACAGATCATTTTGCATATTCATAAAAATCACAGAAAATAACCATAATATGTTGAAACAGTTTAAGGAATCAATAATAATGATTGAGACATCAAAATGTCACCATCAGGTCCAAATATTAAGAACACAAATTCAAACAAAAATGGTTGAATTTTTTTGTTCTTAAAGTTTGGATCTGATGATAAGACTTTGATATCTCAAAAAACATTTACTTCAGAATAAAATAATTGGAAAAAAACGTGAAAATTTTAAGAGTTAAAATTCTATTTTCAAATTAACTACATTCTGATAATTTGAATCAAACAACTATACATGCTTATGAACATTCAAATTACATTGACAACTTATGTTTGAACGTTTTAGACATGTAAAATTTATAAACTATGGTTACTTTTTACTATTAAGTTCAATAAAATTTTGATGATTAACATAGAGAGCACTATATCCTACAGTGATGTGTGATATTTCTTATAACTAAACTAGAATAAGAATTAGGAATTTTTTGAAGAACCTAATTTAGTTTTTAGAATAATTTACCACTGTTTAATTGGATTATAAATGAATCGGTTTCTATTATTTAGGTGAGGATGCGGAAGAAGATGCTTCTACAGAAAATCCGTTTGCTTTATCAACACCGAATGAAGATTTATATCTTGATGATCCGAAGAAAACTTTGCGAGGATGGTTTGAAAGAGAAGGTATATTTATATTCAAATCCTCATAATGTTAACATTTCAAAATTAAATAAATTTCTAGACATTATTAGTTGTAATATTTCTACATTAAAATAGAACATTTACCTATATATATAAAACTGATATGATATAGTTTATGCTTAAACATTAGTAATATGTGGACATACAGGATGTACTCATCACTTTATATTTGCTATTTTTAGAACTGAGCAGGCAATATAATAGAATTCACTTATTATCATCAACCATTTAATGTTTAATTAGAGTTATCATGTCTCAAAACATGTAAGATGATAATTAATAAATCTTCAAGTTATGCATACATTGTTTAATTGTTTTAAATTATTTTTTTAATATCGGCATCAATATAAAACCAGCTCTGTAATCTTCTTCTATAATAATGCTGTTTAATGTCATCATGGGCTGCTCATAAATTATGTAACATCGATTTGGGTGGATGGGTACACAGGTAATCATTATGATGTATTAAAAGTGAGTCAGAGTGATTATGTAATATTAGGATCATTAAATCAATTGGTGTTGTTTGTTAAATATGTATAGTTTAAGCTACTCAGATTTGGCCATGACTTTCATTTTCTAATTCACCAAAAAACAAACTCAAAACAAAAAATAAAATGACAAATCTACTATTTGTCACTGCTTTGTATGTTACACATGTAATTAATAAAATAATTAATGTTCAGTACCTTTTGTTGTATATTATTCTTGAATAAAATTAAGAGAGTTAATCAAGGATATGTATTACATAATTTTGGAAGTGGATTTGTGTGATAGTGTTACAGAATGTTATGAGGGTGGGATGGTAGTTGAAAAGTATAAAAATAGCATTTCATAATTTATGGACAATCCTTCAGTTATCATCATCTATATAAGCAAAGTCCCAAAGTAATTACAATAAGTGGATTCTATCCTATTCCCAAAATTTTATCCTTTGCTTTAAATAAAACTTTTATTTTGCATTAATTTTATTTATTGTAATTTTTACAAACAGAAGACAACATAAAAATAATCTCTAGTGTCTTCAGATTTATCCTTTCTATGTTGTAGGAGCATAAAGTTGTATAGAATTGACATTTTTATGAAGGTTCCTTTCCTGTCTAAATGTAAAATTGCTTAAAATGTCTCTTAAATGATGGTATCATTTAAAATTTGATTATTACAAACACACTATCAAATAACTTTGTGTTCTGTGGTGTAGAAAGAACAAATTTTAAAACAAAGATTTCTTTTATGTTGTCTTCTGTTTGTGAATATTTTTAAGAAAATTTATTCTTGGTTTTACTGATTATAATTATTGGAATTTTGTTTTAAGTGTTTAATTTGAGGCTTTAAAACTGAAATTATATTTATGTAATAAACAAAATTAAATTTTTCTCTCCACTGTAACACTNACACAGCCACCGGTTTAAGCCGAGTATTACCCACTAAACCCAACACAATAACAATAATAATAAATCTTAAATTTATAGTTTTTGAGAATTTATATGAAATAATTATTTTATTTGAGAATATGTATTAATTTTTCATATTTTTAGAAATTTTCAAATATATTTTACAGGTTACGATCTTGAATATGATGTAGAAGAAAAGGGATTTGGACAGTTTACATGTAAAATACAGTAAGTGAATATAATTTTCTGAAAGCTGGAATTAGAATAGATCCTTTAACTTTTTATATAAATACATTTGATTCTCTAAAGATTGCCAATTGATACTCCTAATGGGGAATATGTATATGCCGAAGCTTCTGTTCGAGGTAAAAAGAAAGAAGCTGTTGCTGCTTGTGCTCTAGAAGCTTGTCGAATTTTAGATCGTTACGGACTTCTTCGACAGGCCCAGCATGGTGGATGTCATTTTAAATTTTAGTGTCTTGTAGTTATTGTGGCATATTTTATTTATCAAAGTTGTTATATGTATAATATTATAGAAAGCCGCAAAAGAAAACGTAAGAATTGGGAAGAAAATGACTTTTATGACAGCGACGAAGACACTTTCTTTGATCGAACGGGGACTATTGAGAAGAAAAGGGATATTAGAAAGCGCATGTATAGCAAAGAGCAAACTGTCGAAACTTATGAGACATTGGTATGGTCACAACAATTATGCATTCTTAATGTTTACGCATGACTATTTACTATATATTCAGATGATTTCATAACTTCAGGTTCAAAAATTACAAGAAGTTGATAAAGAAATAGAAGAAATTAGTCAAAAATTACAGACAAGTAAATTAGCTGGTGAGAAGTTATGTTTTAATATCAGAAAACATATCTTTTTATCTCCAACTTTATAATTTATGAAATTAAAAATTATATTTATAGATTCATCTGTAATATATGTAGAATGTAGAATATATATTTCTTCCTTCATATTTTTGAATTTTCTTCTTTATTTGGAATAAGAAAAAATAATTTCTAACATATAAGTGAATTATAATTTAGAGAAGAACCTAGTTGCTCAGAATTCAGAAGATGATTTAGACAGTTACATGTCTTCAATCCAGTCGGGATTAATAGATAAAAAGATGCAGTCAAAACTACAGATTCAATTAAACCAACTTCAACAAGAACAAAGTAGATTGCAAAAGTTGGTAGATATTGCTCGACCGGTAAATCTGCCAGCTCTAGAAAAGTTAGTTTTTGTATGAAATCCCAATCTGTAAATTTATTGTACTGTAACCTATATTCTGTTTTGCATGCATCTGAATTTTTTTGAAATGTTAAATTTTATCTTTCTTTTGTATTTAGGCAGATACCCGTATCAACAAATGAGAAAAGTATGAGTGATAAGAAAACACATTTACCAATGACTGGAGCTATGAAAGGTCATTCTTCCAAAAAAACACAAAAAATGGTATTTAAAGTTCATTCTTATATGATTGATCCAAATGGAAAGTCTACTTGTGAGGTATAGACTTGGCGACACTATGAGCAGTTGTGCTTATTACTGCTCTGCTACATGTCATAAGAAACATTTAAATCTTGAAAATATATTTAAGAAATAACACTGAGACTTGTTTGCTCACATTACCAAGTACACTTTTTGTTTGATCACTCATACCAAAAGATCAAATGGAAAGTGATGAGGAATAGACTTGGACATACAATGAATCAGTTATTTTTGTTATCCCACTACACTAATGATGAATGCTTAAATCTTCAGCATTTATTTACTACACTCGAGACGACATTAGAAACACCTTGTTGACATCAAATCTATTCCTCACAAGTGAGATTTGAACAGTCCATACTTGGAGCTTTTTAATTTCTAATAATAAATAATGTAAAAACATATGTTTATAATGTATTTCAATATTTGTTTAGCAACAGACCACCCAGGTTCCAACCCAAATAAAAGGAATGAGTAATAAGGATGAAGAAGAAGAGGAGGAGGAGGAGGATGATGATGATTATGATGCTATTGAAGCAAATCCAGCAAAGGCATCTTCAAATATAGAAGAAATGCAAACTGATACTAAAGAAATAGTTGATACAAATGCTGAGAGTTCCAAAAGTGTGTTAGAACAAAAAGAAGAATCTAAGAAAGTAGAAAAAGAATTGCTCAATAATAAACAGAAAGCTCCAATTAAAGGTAAATATTTATTATAATTGCATTAAGAAAATTGTCAGAGAACTTATAAATGAGATCAATCTTATTTTTATTTTTATTAATGTTAATGGAGGATTTTTCATTGTTTTTTAGTGCAAAAAGTCCGCTTTTTATAAAGTTTCATACATTTCATATGAAACATCTTCCATTTTAATACATCATAGTTGCGACTTTTATTAATTTATTAACATTTCTTCTAACAATTTGTAATTTCACATAAGTTTTTGTATTTACTGTTTACAAATTACAAAACCTAATTGTTAAATTCAGGAAAGAAAGATTATTTTTTTAATTCAGTAATTTTGTTTGGTCAGTCTGTGTCTATCTTAATCTTTCAAAGAACCCAAATTTAAAGTTTAAACTAATAATCTTCATCCTAACCTTAGCAAGGTTAGGATTAAGATTACAACTTAATACACTCTTTTAATATTAAATCTTAGTATCATATATTTTTGCAGATAAGACGATAGTTGAATCATAAAAAAAGACCCCCAAAATCCGGGGTCATCGTATAGGACAGATACAAAGAAAAAAAAATTAGATTGAAAGTTATATAAATTAAATTAAAACCATTATAAAATAAAACAAATTGCTTACCAATGTATTTAAATAGCCCATACGACATTTTTGTGAATAGTCAAGGTCATTACCCAAATGCCCGAATCAGTGTGAATGTTTGCAATAATCGCAAGGCAGTACTGTCAGATGCAAGAAAATAAAATTTGTTCATTCAAAAAATTACAAACAGGACATAATTCTGTATATTCTATACAGAATTATGTCCTGTTATTCTATACAGAATTATGTCCTGTTATTCTATACAGAATTATTATCCAGATGATGATCGCTGATCTAAACTAAACTCATAGGCCGTTGATAACTTGGGGGTCATCTTATAGGACAGATATATGCTAAAACTATAAAATTTTGACAAAAATTTATACCTTGTCTTATTTGTAGATCATCTTATCTGCGGAAATATATGGTATATTGTTTTTCATAGTTACTAAAAGTGTGTTTTAATCTGAAATTGAAAATGGCTTTTATTTATGTTTTCATTTTGAATTCTAAAACAACAAACTTATTTTCATAGGACCTTTATGGCCTCCACCTGAAAATTTGTGCGTAAGACAGTCGAAAAAAGAAAAAGAAGAAAGTAAGAAAAACGTAAGTCAGTACAGAAGTTTTTTCATATTAGTATAAATTTAATTTTTTTTTTATTTTTATTTTTTTGCATTAAGCTTTGAATTAGTTAAAAATTAAAATTTGAAAATTCTCATTAGAATATATGTTGTTCAAACACAAATTTAGCTTAAAACAAGTTCAGTATTTAGCTACTAGAGAGAACATTCTTAAAAAATTTTATGCAAATAATTTTTATTAAATAAGTAATCAATATTCCATAACTTCTCTAAAAAGGGAAACCATAAACTTAGTCTCCATTCAGTAGTTTGTGTATAAGACTTCAGTTAAAGTAAATTAAATCTCAAGTGAAAAACCTTAGTCTATGTCTATAGCTCAAATAATAATGATTTTCTGTCATTTTAATTTGGTTTTGTGTATATTTATTTTTATTTATTTTGAAAATGAAGTTTGCATGCGGATAGATATCAAATAGTAGAAAGCATAAAATTTACTAAAGGAATTATTATTCTATTTAAAAAGTTTTTCAAATGTTTTTGTTCAAAATAAAAAACATTTTATGTTAAATTTTTTTTTATTAATGAAGGATTATTTTTAAGGACGATAAAGTATTTTTATTGCAATAATTTACATGAAGTCAAACTAAAATCTATGATTAGATTTGTTAAATTTTGTTGTCATTTAATTATTTAAAAATAAAGAAAATCTGTTATTTTGAATGTTGAATCTAATTATTAAATTAAATTAAATTATTTTAATCCATCTACAAAACTTAAGTTATATATCAATGTATTACAATTGTAGATTAAATCAAAATATAATTATTTTTTTGCTAGAAATTATTTATATGATAAAAGTATGTGAAATCTCTTCTGATTCCTCAAATTAACTTGATTTGTTTCTCAAATTTAAGCATTAATATTTGAGTCACAAGCCTACTACTAAAGAATAGTCAAAAATTTATATTTACACAAGACTACACAATTTTTAATTGTATATCCATTTTTGGAATTTTTTATCAATGATATACTTTAACATTGTGTCATTGCCAGACTATTTTAACAAGCTTGACATACTGAGATGAAATTTCAAAGTAAAGGTTTGACTCTACCATCTGACTTTGTTGTTTTTTACATACCTCATCAATATGAAGTGAATGAGTGAGTCTTGAGCTATTGTAGCAACACAAATATGTTGAGAATGTCACGTGATGTTAGCTCATTTCATGAGACCATTGTTTGCAAGAATCATTATCACAACATCTTCATTCAGTACATTTACATGCTGTGTGGTTAACTCTAAATAAAGCACCAGATGATGCTAATTTTCATTTTTTAGAAGGATATTGATGCATAAGGATTCAAAATCTTTTATTTAAATATTCATGTAGTCCTTGATGTTTGGATATTCAACTTTTGGACACTTACACTTTCTCACACAATACTTTAATACAGAGCATCAATTATCCGAATGTCGATCAACCGAAATGTCAATTAACTGAAATTTTTCCAGTCGGCAAATTTAAATTTCTGCTAGTGCTGTGGCGCTGCAATCTTTTGCTATGTCTTGGGCTACTCCAATATTATTTTTGTTAGTGTGCATGTTTTAGCTGGCTGCACTGGCGTGACCATGAGAGGATACTTAAGGACGTGCCAGGATTTGAACGAATTTCAACATGGGATAGGTTAATATATTTTTTTAATAGATAATTGGTTATCTGAAAAATCAATTTTCCAAACAACCCCAGTTTCCAATTGATTCAGATAATCGATGCTCTACTGTACTCATAAATCTCTTCTTGTATATCAAGTTCAGACTTCTGCAATTTTCCACTGACAAATAGAGGTTTTAAACTATTGTGCAACTATTTTGGTTTCCATAAAAGAAAAACAATTTTTGAAAATTAATTTTAATTAAATAATGTTTTAAGCAAAGTGACATGTTTACTATGAAGAAAGTAAAACATTCCTATCTGAACAATAGAGTTTATAATCTAATATATAATCGAGACGGGTTGATGATGATGATGATAATAATAATAATAATAAGCGCAGAGCCCAAACGGTTAGGAGTTGAAAGTTGAAATTTGGTACACAGATAGGGTACGTCACGAAAACGCACACTAAGAAGGGATTTTTCGAAATTCCCCCCCGGGGGGAGAGAGACAGGATTAAAACTTCTATATACATTATGGATACGAGCCCAAACGGTTAGGAGTTGAAAGTTGAAATTTGGTACACAGTTAGGGTATGTTAGGAGAACGCACACTAAGAAGGGATTTTTCGAAATTCCTCCCCACGGGGGAGAGGGACAGGATTAAGGCTTAACACTTCCATCAACAATGGAAGTTTTAAGTAACAATAAAAGTTTTAAGTAACAATGGAAGTGTCAACAATGGAATTGTTAAGAGAAAGTGACGTGCAATACACAGATGCAGTTTTTTTCGTTTTTGTGGGAAATCGAACATATTTTTAGACCCATCTAAAAATTCTCTAATTAGTCTGGAAACAAGGGGACCCAATTCTTGCATTCTGTGAAATCGAACATATTTTTAGACCCATCTAAAAATTCTCTAATTAGTCTGGAAACAAGGGGACCCAATTCTTGCATTCTGTGAAAACGGGTAAGGTTGACTGTAACGTGATAATCTTTATCTTAGTTATCGTTACTTTTGCCCGAGCAACGCCGGGCCCACCTGCTAGTTATTTTATAAGTTTATTGTTTGACTTTCATACATTTGAATATTCTATACACTTTTAAGAATATCTTGCATCCAGAAGTTGGTGACTGCCTTATTTAAAATAAATGAAAATCCTTGATTTAAATTGTACGAGTATTGTCGACTTAACTGTTGTTATACTTAGAATGTTCAGTTAAGAACATATTCATATTTTTTTTTTTCAGATAAACCATTAATCAAGTAATTTTAAACAAAAACTTTTATAATTCAGCAGTAATTATTTATCATGAACATTTTTGTTTCAAATTATTTGATTTATTTATCCAGTTTACCTGGTTTCTTATATATACTTTTGAAACATCAATATGGAATTTTTCTATAAATAATAGCAGTAAACTGGAAATTAATCCATTGTATATAAAATGATCATTGAATACTTTCATCTGTGTATGCATAATAGACAATTTTAAAAGGAGTGAATATTATTACCGAAGAACAAAATTCTACAAAACTTTCCATTTTTCAAAAAAAAAAATTTTTAAATAATTGATATTTTTATAACATTTTTGAAGTATTTCAATAATATATTTTTATCATTTTTCTTTTAGAAAAGATTTATTAAAATATTTTTCGTTTTTAAATAACATCTGTAGAGATAAAGTTTACTATCAGAGAATAGTATAAGCAGCCTAGACTTTAGGTTAGACTTTCAAGCATACTTCATGCTACATGCACCCACTCTAATAAATCATTTCAGCAAATGAAGCAATTAGTAGTTTTCAGTTATGTTGCATACATTACATAAATTTATCCAGGAGGAGAGAAGAAAGAACTAAAATTTAATCCTATTAATATTACAGTTCTTGTTGCACAAATATAGATAATTAAGAAAGGAAATTTAAATCTACAGTTAGTTTCAAACAAAGAAATCTGTACTTTTTACTGATTTTGTATTTTTTATTCTAAAATAATTTTTTAACTGTTTTCATTTTAAATTATTGAAAATATTATATAATACTTGGCAGAGCAATAATTTCATGTATAATATTGAATATATTCAATGGCCCAAAAATTGGTTAACTGATATACATCATTTATTTCAGGAATATTCTTTTATTATTTTTTTCTCCCAAATTAAAGTATTAGTGTTCTCTTTTTAATTTATACATTCAAATTTATTGATAATTTTTTTTAATAAAAATGATTATTTTGGCATCAAATGATTAACTCTGTATTGACTCTGACAAACATTTATTGATTAAAACTTTTTTCACTTCATTTCATTGAGTTCGTAACACATGATATCTTCAATATATTTAAGTTTAAAATGAATAATTCAAGACTAGTTAAGGAGTATTTGATATGGTGAATAAGTGTATGCTAAACAAAATTGCATATTAATTGAATTGCATCCTTACTGTTTTATATATAAAGTTATGGAAACATAGACATGACATTTTTTTTTGTTTTTAAGTACAGGAAATTGTTGGAATTTACAAAAATAGTTATCGGCAGAATTTTACTTTAATATGCAAATTCACCAGAATTCATAACATGTATTTGTTGTTTCTGAATATTTCTAGAATTGTACAAAAATGAATAGTTCAAGGTAAAAATAGTTTTAGAAATACTTTAAAACAAAGTAAATAACATTAATTACAAAGTAAATAACTTGCAGTATTTGCTTTATTTACACTAAAAATATATATCAGGGAGTTGTTAAAATCAATAGTTTTCTGTTTGGATAATTCTTTCTGTAATATAAATAATAATTTGTAAGCTTATTTTTTAAAATTTAAGTCTAAGAAACTTCCGATATAACTGTTAACCTTTACACAGCCCATGTGTAAGTTATGAAGAGACTTTACCAACATATAATGTTAAAACAAAATAAGTAAAATATTTTTGGCAGTATTTATATGTGAACTTTAAATAATTAAATAAATGATAATTTTAAAAATAAAATAACTAAACATTGCTCATAATAATAATTAACATACAAATTAATGAAAATATAATCTCATATAAATATTAATGTTTTAAATAAATTATAACATTTACTTAACCTATTTACAATCATTTCCTGGATATATATTGTATCCTAACTATTTAAAAAAAAAAATTGAGTGAATAATAATAGTTTTTTTCCAATCATTACAACTGTTGTATTTTCATTGTAGAATTATTTTTGTATTTTTTCTGTTAACTTTGCTAACACAACTCTTGTGGGTCATTCCTATGCTTTCTTATTCTATTCAGTAATATATTTTATGTTGTATTATTGAAATGTTCATTATGTTTGATAAATTATTAACTTTTCAAGCACAAATTAACAGCTGTTTTACTACTTTGTTTCTGTATACATTTGAAAACTAGTTTATTTGAAATTGTAATTTTAACAGTTGTCCTTAGTATTTCAGTTACTAATGTAATAATCAAATTATTTTTATTTCCCATCATTAATATTTCTCCTATAAAAATATTTTTATTATATTTCAAAGCAGAATTGCAATCATATACTTTTTTTTTTTTTTAATTTACAGTTCTCTTTCCTTCATTTTCTTTTTCCTCTTTCTTTTCTGCTTTCTCCCAATATTGCATTGACATCTATCATTTTTCATTTTGCCAAAGAGAATAAGAAGATAGAAATTGACTCCTTCTTTTCCTCAGTCTCTTATTTCTTATCTTCATCCCTACACAGTCTTCTTTTATTTAAGTAATAAATTTTCAGTATTGTTCTGATATTAAGAAAACAGCCATTAAAAATGTTTATATTTTAAATTAATTTATCACTTTTTTACGGTTCCCAAGTTGCTTATTTTTACCGACAGATGGACTTTCTACAATTATGTTTTCGTTACGTCATTGAAACAGATGTCGAGAGGGAAAAACGTTGTCGATTGTTGGAACCAATATAAAATTTCGTGATAAGATTGCCANTATTGGTTATGAAATGGTTTGCATTGTTTTAATTATGAGACAACTAAGCAATGAATTTTGCTTTTATTATAGAAATCTGTAATATATTCTTTAAAATATTTCTATAAATTGGAATTGGGTCTTTCAAAAATTACAAATTTCTAAATGGTTTGTGGTGAATATAATCAATAAATAGGACATTGCAAATATTAATTTAAATCTTAATTAATTTAGATCTAAATACATTCAAGAATATTTTGTATAATAATTAAAAGTGTTTTTATAGAGTTAACACACTATAAAATATTCTATTATTAGGTGCATGTGCTTGTCTAAGACAACTGAAGCATGTACCGTACCTTCTTAGTATCTGTAAGGAATGAAGAATTTTAAATAAATAGTTGAATATTATTTTATTTCTCAATGATTAACAAATGCAAGGTCATTTATGCTTTCTCATACTTACATGAATATATTTTTTATGCGATAATGAGAAAACATTTTATTATTTTTGCTCTTTTATCTGTATATTTTAGTTTGATATTCTTTTCTATTAAATTTACATATTTTGATACATTTTTTAGATGTGAATACAGTTTAAATATATTTTTTATTTGATTTTAGTTGCTTATTATTATATTTTAAAATTTTGAATTCAATATTTAAAAAAGTTCTGTAATTCTTCTAATAAGGTTTTTATATTTATGCTTTGCATATATAGCAGAAATGTACAGTACATAAATTACATAAATTAGTAATGAGTTATATTTGAATTGTCAACTTAACTAAATTCAAATAAACATTTTAGTTCAAATATAATATACATATATGCACAGTACAATCTCAATTATCCAAAGTAATATAGACAAATGCTACCTTGGATAACTGAAAATTGATAATACAGATGACCACTGCCATTTTGGATTAAAAATTAACAATATAAAAGATTTATATGGCAGTATTCTTAGTCTTATATAATTATATAGTCTTATAAATATAGTCTTAGTGAATTTAATCATATGTAAGAACAACAATTTTCACATTGTTTAGTATATAGCTAATACATACAATAAGAATAAACATGCTTATTATTGCAATTACATTTTAATATGAATGGTTTGTCTCACATTGAATTTAAATAATAAAAGCTAGCAGGAACAAATCATTTTGTAATACACATTACTATTTTGAACTTTACTTCACTTGTGCTGTAATTCACTTACAGATTTGCTTCAGATAATGCAAAATCTCTGTTAATTGGGAGTTCAGATAATTGGAGTTATACTGTATGTATGTATGTATATAATAATTCCTAAGCAAATGTGAGTTATGAATATAATTAGATTATATAATGTATATTACGTAATTTGGTAAACCTTAAATGTATATATTTGTTTAAATATTTATGTTCTTAATATTGATATTTGTAAATACAATTCAGTTATAATTTCATAACTTAATTCTGTACAACTTGAATTAATTGTATTCTGTAAAAAACAAAACACTTATACAAGTCAAACTTTAATTTACTGCCACCATTTGTTCATCTCTGAAATTGGAACTAAATTAAGTGTGTTGCTAAATTGAAGTATGAAAACAATAAGTATAATATGTTGCAACAAAGAGTTTGAGTTTTAAAGTTATGACTTGCAATAATAATGTTATTTGCAGATATACATTTAGTAATTCAGATACTAAAGGGTTTTTTACGTAATATTTCAGGAAGATTCATTCACAAATGCTCATTGATTCTCTATGGGGATACACTATTTAAGAAGGTATTGTTTAGAGATTTCACTAGATATCTACAGTGGCCTCATGTGGTTTGTCTACAACCTTATTGTAGCTCTCATATACTTATACAATTTCTTTTATAAATTTGGTTTATACTACTTACACATGTGTAATATTTTTTAAGTTTTTCTGACTATATGGAGTAATATATACAGAGATTGTAAGTGTAACTCACAACTTAATCTTGAACACACAACAGAAAACTTAGGATGCATTCATAACGTTGAAGGAGTTAATTGATATATCTAGTTAATCATAAAGTACCAGTAAAATAACAATAATATTTATCACAGAACAATGATAACTATAGTATTTTAATTATATATTATATAAATAGATGATGTAGTTCCAATAGGCATTCATTACATGATGAGGCTCTTGTGTATTTCTGAAAAACAGTGTATGCCTCATATCGTGACAAGGTTTGACCACCCTGCCATAAACTCTATAAATTTTAAAGCATAAATTATTATCTTTTTATCTTATTATAAATTTGTATTAGTATAAAAATAACTAACTTATGAATGAAAAGTTTTCTTACATACTATATTTACAAAAATTTATTAATACTAAAAGTTAGCTTAAATTTAATATTCTCAATTCTTTCTTAATATACAAAATTATTTTGTAAATTCTGTTATAATGTTTTTTTTTAAAAAAAAAATACAAAATAAGGAATATTGGTTTTAATTAAAATAATGAATTTTATTTGTATAATTTAATTATTTGGAAGAAATTATTTTTATTTATTTATTCTTATAAAATATTCTTACATTATTATAAATAAATAAATTTTAAATATGGTGATAATTTTTAAATGGAAAACAAGAATTCAAACAAAAAATAAAAATAATATACAAATAAGTAAATAGAAATATGTCAGAAAATATCTGTATTTTTCAATTTTTTTGTTATCTGATATCATACAATAATCACCAGATGTTGTTTTATGTTATTATATCATATTAATATTTTTTATTGTAAAAATATTAAATCTTTATGGCATATTTCCAAGAAATATAGAATTAATTTTAAAAATCTGATGTAAACTTTTTCAATTAATAAAATACGTATAATAAAGCCAACCACTGCCGTATGCCATTAGGCTACAGCAGTGGTTAGCTTTATTATTATAATGTATCGGGTTTTTGTAGAGTTGTTTGTTTAAAATAAGTATATATGATATCGATATATATTTATCCAATCTGAACTTATCATTTAACAAATTTTAGTTTCTTGATATATAAAATTAATAAAATTTCTAGTCATAAGATGATAATGAATAATGACTGCAAACATTAAAAAGTTGTAAATACAATGGGAAATAATACTATCCTAGTATTAAAATGTAACAGTGAACAGAGATATAATGTTCTGTTCATCTGAAGAAGATAACTTGATTTATTCAAAATACTTATGTATTTTAATTAATTTTTGTTATATCTCTATTCACTATTACAATTTAATACCATAAGACAGTATTCTTTCTAATTTGAATTTTGTGGCATCGTAGCATATTGGTTATGAAATGGTTTGCATTGTTTTAATTATGAGACAACTAAGCAATGAATTTTGCTTTTATTATAGAAATCTGTAATATATTCTTTAAAATATTTCTATAAATTGGAATTGGGTCTTTCAAAAATTACAAATTTCTAAATGGTTTGTGGTTAGTAGTTCTTTAAATAATGGAAAGATTAATTACGGATATGTTTAAAAAGAATATCAATTTTATAGTATTTTTAACTATATTATGCAAAACTAATTGATAAATTAGATTGAGCATTATATTTAACATGTTTTTTTTTTTTCAAATGCCCCAAGTCTCCTGTAATTTAATTGCTAATTTAAGATTTTTCCTGATTATAATTACTTTTGATTAATCCACTGAAGGTCTGACATATAAATTCTACTTGAAAATTTAATTACTACTACAAACAGTTCAGTACTAATAAGTGGCTTATTCTCTTCTATAAAAAGAGATTTACAAGAGTGAATCAAAACATTTTATTAACGGTTTTAAATTAATATTTAAATAACTCTTAATTGGTTGACTGTAATTAATATTAAATTGCAAGATTGAATGTAAAAAGTAATCGCATTTAAATAATAGACTACTAATAAATTTTAAAATTTGCAATTTAAAATGTTTTTTTTAAATTATTCTAACAGAGTAAGAAAAATGAGAAAGACGGATCGTCTTACGAGGATGCAGCTTCTAAATATGCCATGTGGTTGCCGCCGACAGGTATATTTAATAATTCTTTATACATTTCATTAAATCTCGAGATTAAACTATTTATAACAAAGTAATGACTATATCTTGAGTGATAAATAATTTATCAGGTTTATTCGAAGCTTTGCTTTATTTCCACTTAATGTACTTTTGCAGTTAAATTAGGGATAATTTTAAATGTAAAGTTATTTATGGATTATTCAGTTTAAAATTTGCTTAAGATTAATGGTAGAATTCAAAAAGTGTTTGCACATTAAACTAAAAAAATATATAATTAAGCTCTTAAAGAAGTAATTATGTATCATCTTGAGATTGCAAACTACAGTATATAATTTTTTAAAAACTTTTTTGATAGTTTAAGTGTTTTAATTATTTTTAAACATTTTTTTTTTTATTATTAATTTCAGATCAGTCTGGTGATGGAAGAACACATTTGAATGAGAAGTTTGGCTATTAAATTCATCCGAAAAACTTTTATTTCATGTGAGAATAAATTAATAAATCATACCCATGTATCATATAATTATATAAACATTAAATAAACATTGTCTTTTTTTTCTTTATGTATATATTTTTTTCTTTCTCAATTAATTCTTGCTGTGTTTAAAAAAAAAATAAAAGAAATTTTAATTTTTTTACCGATGACTATAGTAAAATATCGGAATTTATTTTAAAATTTGGGCAATATAATTTATTATACGGTATTTCACTTAAAATATAGCGTTTGTTGGTGTTTAGAGTAGAAGCTTCAAGTATTTTTTCTAAAAACATTGAGGGGTCTCTAAGCATAGAACTTTTTTTTATATAAAAAAAAAGTTCGTAGGGACTTGTAAGAAACAATTTAGGACTAGTAAGCACTTTCCCTATTCAGAGAAAAAGAAAAAATTTAGACTTCAAAGTTCTTAACCTATGTAGGAGAAAAACACTATAGAGTCTTCTAAGCATGTTGTCCGTTTAGAGAGAAAAAATCGTAGGGAAGTTTTTATGCGTTTCAATTACGGTAAGTCAAATGGAAAGATGAATGGAAATGAATTTAAAAAAAGGGGGTGCGTTATCTGTAGCGCCATCTAATGGGAAAATAAACAAACTTAACGTTCTTGACCTTGACCGATTTTAGGCAAAATCAATTTCCCTGTAACCTTTGAAAAATTCTTATTTATTATTTTTAGATAGATCAATACATAAAATGAGGAAAGAGCCAAAATACTTCTAACATCAGTATTTCTTCCTCTAAATGAATTAAATATTTGTGCTGCCATCTGTTGACTAATTCGACAACTATTGTGAATGGCGACAATTTGAATCAATCGATCGAAAACAATTAATTAACATTTAATAATTTTATTTGAAATTATAAAAATTAAATATTATTTGCGATGGCTTTTAAAGCGTCGCAAGTTTTACAATTAAAAATAAAATGCGAATTTAATAAATTTTAATTAAAAAAATGAGAGGCGTATTATGGAATGTTTTTAGGAACGTCCTTAGAGGTTAACGCGTGACAGGTGATTAGGTTATGACCCTCTACTAGGTTATATCTTAGCGAGTGAGCGCCTAAACTGAAAGGTGCACCTTTTCAGCCTGGAGCTGGATTCTTTAAGTGAAAGATATGTCGCTTGTTTAACAGATTCCGCGTAAAAATGTTAAAAAATGTGCTCTCGACTGACAGAACAATCTCGCAGCACCCTCGACTGATTACTTAATAGTAAATATAAGTGTTTGCGGAGAAATTTTTGTGTGTGTTTCACCGAATACATATATTTATATCCCCGTGTATTCATTAGTATAAAATTAATATCCTAATTAAATTGTCACTTAAAAATGCGTTGTAATAAAATTTTCATGTATTTTTTGTGTTACAAGAAGCGATTCATCGCGTGATTTATAACTTTTGTAAGCGCATTTTTTTTTTTTAATTGGAAATTTTCTAGTCGACATCTTCGACCACGTGACTGATCCTCTACGTAACCGCCGGTGACGTCACTAGATCGTGGAAGGGGACAAGATGGCGTCGTCAGATGTTGTTACCGAAGTTGAAATACAGCCAGAGATACAGGAGGTAGAAATCGAAGCTATACCTGTAGAAATGTCGGTAGAAACTGTGGAAACGACGGTGGAATCTGTAGAAGGACAGCCCATGATAGCCCTACAACCGTTACCCGAGCCCGGACGTGAGATCATACTACAGACACAAGAAGAAATAGTGGGTAATGACGGAGACGGAGAAGTTTTAAGCGGATACGATCACATTCCTGTACCGACACCGGAAGTTATTATAGAAACGAGTCCGAGTACCTCTGGTAAAAAAGGTAGAAGGGGTAAAAAGGGCAGAAGAGGAAACAGCGATTTAAATTACGATGCCACCGAAAGGTCTACGGGTGCCAGGAAATGGGAACAGAAACAAGTGCAAATTAAAACATTGGAAGGTGAATTTTCCGTTACCATGTGGGCATCGGGAGCCGATGAGGGTAAGTAAACAATCATTTACCACTCTCTTGTGTTTTTTCTAGTGTTATCAAATTTGCGCTCTAACACATACCTAGTTAATACTGTTACCGCCTGTACTGTTAGCTATGTTGGCCGTTACGATCGAGTTTTACCATATGCTATTATTATTAAAGTGTTTTCTGTAAGAAAACGTGTCGTTTAATATTAAAATATTAGTGTTTGGATGCCTGCAAGTGATTGTCATGTTGTCGTGGGCGCCGCCATCATCGAAGATGGCGATCGTTGATGGCGTCTGTCCGCCATCTTGAATTACTCGTACACAAAAAGTACAATGATGAAGATGGACGGTAGTGTTTATCCTGCTTGTTACGTGTGAAATTATTCCACTTCTGCCTCTGTGAAAGTGAAATTCGGCCAATGATTGTATTGCTGACAAATGTTTTACATTCTGTTTATTTTTGCCTTTTTTTTTTATATTAAAATCTTTTTAATGTGATTTTCATCACACTGATTTTTAGTTTAATGTACTGTACCATGTATGATATTTTTTTATTTAATAAATTGTATTTTATTATTATAATTACGTGAAATTCTATCGTGAATTTTTTACGATTATTATGTTAAGATTTTGAATACATAATCTACAACAATACATAATTTTTTTTTCTTGTTAATTGTTCTGGTCTATTAATTTAAATTGTCTTCAAGTATACGTTTTTTGAAAACAGTTTATAATATACAGCGTTAATAGCATCAAATTTCTAAGTTTTGGCATGCATGTTGTTCAATTAAAATCAACAAAGCTCATGCTTTCATAATTGATATTTTGAAATATATCTTTTTTTTATTATTTAGAAATTATAGATCAATTTTAAAATTATTTTTTATTTTTTAGTTTAGTTTATAAATATTTCGTTGATATTAATTAAATGTAAGCATAAAACGTTTCATTTTTCATGCGCAAAAGTTTTTGAACTGTCGTGCTCGAGAGAATGAGAATGAAATTTTGTCCGTGCAAGACACAATGTACTGATTTCTTTGGATGTGCATTCAAAATTTCTGTAAGATAGAATCAGTTTTATTTCAGAAATTGTTAAGAATCTTTTATTTTGATTTGTCAATTTTAATTGGAATTTTTGCATATTTAAAAAATTTTTATCATTGCACATGCAAAGAAAAACAGCTAATACTAGATTTTTTCATGAACTTTGGAGTGTTCATAATTTTTAGCCTTTTGTAAAACACAGTTTGGCTTTCTCATATTTAAAAAAAAAATTTTAATTTTGATTTTGTTTATTATATTATGCAATGTTAAAATCTTTCTAGTTGCAACTGTCGAACTTATGTAGTGGCTGCAGGGTTCTTTCAGGCCTCAAAAGCCGTCTGAAAGAACCCTGCAGCCATTTGGAGAATGATAATCATGCAGCTGGAAGTTTTCAATTATTTTAAGTTTTGGATATGTTTTTAATGTTCCTTAATTGACTTTGTAATTTATTCTTTAAAACAATATTATTTGAATATTGTTGTTTAATTAAAAGTTTATTCAAAATTTCTTAGTATCTTAATATGACTAGGAATATTCCTTAGGAGTTTTTGCAAATAAACAAATTTTGCAAAAAAATATATATATTTTTTTTAATTACTTTTAGTTGAAATTATTTGGTTGCTAAATTAAATAAATTCATGAATAGAATGCAGTAATTATTTTTAATGTTTAGAAATTTGATACCAACTATTTTTTGTCAACTGATGTAAATACAATTAAATAATGTATATGTAAACACATTTATTTTTTAAATAATTTTCTCCTGTGATTATTTTTTTAATTATTTAAAATGATTAAGAATTAAAAAATTCTGGGAAAATATAATTGAATTAGGTACAATGTTAAAATTTCTGCAGTAGTGAACATTAGACATACATTTGAATAAAAAATTAATATCAGTAGTGGATCATAAAAGAAAATCTAATTTTAGGCAGCCAGACAAAGAATTGTCAGTAAAACTAGTGCCATCTAGGGGAAACTAGAAAAACTAGATTGTGAACTGTATTATTTTTGTCTGGTGTAGTGTGCTGAGTTATATAAATGCTCTGCAAATTTTTTTAGATGTTTTTATTGTTATTCTGCTTTGATAAACAAAACATAATAGTATAGAAATTAAATTTACAAACCAAATTACTTCTTAATAGATTTTTTTTTTATAAACTTATAAAATTTATTGACGTGTTTCAAATTGATTTTGATGGTTTCTTTTTACTAAATTATTCTTATCGTAAAAACTTAACAAAGTTGAAGCATATATTTATTGTAAAAACAAACCACATGACATTATATCTAAATTTAAATTTATCTGGAAGCAAATGCTTACTCGGGGTCCAGGTGGCGTAACTCGCAAGTGGAGGTTGCGGGTTCAAGCCCCATCCTGGGTCTTTTCTTTCATATTTTCTTCCAGATGGTTTTAAATTATTTAATAAATTATTAAAAATTATAATTATTAATTTAGTTAAGAGATGGCACCTAACGTCTATCTCTAGTAGCAAATTACTTAATATTAATTATTAAATTAGCTGAATTATAGCCCGATTATTTAGGCAATCATTTGATGTTTCTAAAAACAAATATTTAAAATAACTTTAAATCAGGACATCTTAAACTTTTTCATTTGTGATCCCTTTTTACTCAAGAAAATTTTATATGACCCTCTGTGTACAAGTATATAAAATAGGTATACAAATAATATCACTGATTTTTACTTGTTATACCAAAACAGTTCTTTTATATAAATATTTTACCATTTATTGCCATTTATTAAAGGCAAAAGTAGATTTACATACTATTGAGATGGATGTACATGTTTATTTATTTTTACATAAAGAATTAAATCTTGGCTGAATACTGCAGGACATAGGGCATCTTCAACATTTTTAACAGGCACCTAATATTTTAATTTTATAATTGTCAATGCTTAAAATGCTGCTTTTCATAAATACATAGCACAAAATTTTACTGTTGTCAGATTTTTTACAACTCTTACATCAATTACACAATCCTGTCTGGGGTTGTGACCCACAATTTAGGAAGTCCCTGCTTTAAGTGATTGTCTTCAGTTTAATATTCCATGGATAAAATATTTTAATTCTATAAATCAGATTCTATAATTACCAGTAGATTTATAGAATCTGAAGATGGTCACATGATTGGAAACATTTGTTTTTACAATAAATTAGTTGGTGAATATAGATTTTGACATCTTTACATTGCTTATTGCAAATTTAGTTATTAAAATGAGAATAATCAGTATGATAGTTTTATGACAGCTTTTTGACACACTATTTATATAATGTAATAAAAAAAACATACCATTTGAAGTAATTGAAGTTGAAAATAGTAATTTCTTCTTAAAAATTGACAGTCAAATTTGTTGTATATTCTTTGCATATCTTAATCTTATCATAAAAACGTCCAGAAAAACATTCACTCTTATTTTTCTGTACTGCGTATGAAAAATAAAGGGATTTATAATTTGTTAACATGAAACAAATATTTTAAGTAAAAGAAAATATGCCTATGCTTTACATTTAAGACATCTTCATTTTTAAAGTAAGGAGTTTTGGGAAAATGTTTGGTGATAATTAGAAGTAAACACCATTTAAAGAATTTATTAAAAAGTAAGAGAGTTATTAATGTATCTAAAATCTAGAGTGATTAAGAGGAAATACTATAAAATTTCTATTAAATATATAATCTTAGCCATTGATAATGAGTATCTCCAATTTAAGACATACTAATTTTAAATTAAGAAACACATGTAAAAAAAAGTTTGTCTTAAAATATAATCTTCATAACATAATCATACATATTTGGAATAAAATATTTTAGATGCCAAATTTTGTAAACATTTTTGAAACCTTAATAATAAATAAGCTAACTAATTATGTAGAGGAGAAGGTGGTATTATGAAACCCCAATTACATTTTATTGAATTGTAAACAAGGTATCATAACTACACCCACATTTTTTGTGTGAAAAGTACTGGTAACTATTAAACTAAATGTTCCTAATTGGATTTTTTGCTAGTGTAACTGTAAGTATGGTTTTTGAAGGCTTTTGTACAAAGTCAGAAAGTAGGCTTAGAGAAAATCATGTGGTAATATGGAACCTTACTGTATATTTTCAAAAAATGCTCTAATGTAGCTAAAAACAAATTGGAAAGACAAAAAATGTTAAATAATTACAAAATTATTTACTCCAATGTATTTTATCGTAAAAATGCTTTTATAATAGAAAAATATGACCTCCATCAACAATATATATTCCAGCAGTTCTTTTTTGATATTCTCAAGAAGAATTGACTTTCTTCCTAGTGTCTTTTTCACAAATTGCTCCAGACGAATGTTTGCTTGCAAAGAGAGAGTTTGGAGGAGTTGAGTTCCATATTACTGTAAAAGCACCAATGGGGTCCGTATTTCACGCTTCGCCATCTTGAATTAACTTATGTCTGTCAAGACCAAAATTTTAAAAACCTGTGTAAAAAAATTTTAAAATATTAATCTGTGTGAACATCACACAGATTAATATTTACCCCTAAGTCTCTGGAATGGAATACATGCACCAGTGAACCTACAACTACACAATTTATATTTTTAAAATAATTAAATTCACTTAGCATTCAAAACTTGCAAATTTTGTAAAAAACAAATTTGCTGATTAAATACGGACAACCATTTAACTGAAGTAAAACGGGTTTGCCCCTTGCTATGGATGTCTGCCTAGTTCAGTTCAGCCACAATCCGCTACAGTTTGCCTTTATTATCAGTTTGAAATGGGGTGGTTCCATAATACCACCTTTTCCTCTGACTGTTGTTCAAATTGATTATAAAATAAATGAAGAATGTCTTCAAAAAGAACCAACATCTTTCTTATGGAAAATGCAATTAGGTGAAATTAGCTGAAAATGAAATACAGTGATACCTCGGTATATGTCTGCTTTAGAATACGTCCAATTCGGAATATGTCCTG